CCTAAATTCTCTTCAAACTTTTTAACTTGCACAATAACTTGATAAATAAGCTACATTTTACCTTTCCTCTTATTCTTTCCTCTCAAACTACTAATCTTAAAATATACTTTACAAATATGCTTAATCTCCTGATCTAGTGAACAGTAATCCTGTTCTGAAGCGCTTGTAACCTTTCACGGTAAACATTTCTGAGCGATACTCATCATTTGATGTTTTCAGATTGCTTAGTTTATTATTTTTTTCTCACATATGTTTTGCTACCGATTGAAATGAATAATTAATCCCATTTGCGTTTCCCTGACTTTTTAGAGCACAATATAACTGTATGGTTATGAAGTGAAATTAAGAGAAGAGTCATTTCGATTGGTTCAATATGATACACTATGCATTCAGCAATAGATGACAGAGTTAAAGTTATACCCAATAATGACAAGAAATACATTTGAGTCACCACTATAAACGACTTACAACCAAGAGTTGCTAAACAATTTATTTTAGAATCTTGAAGACCACGGTCAGGCGGCATACACAGCTACACAAATGGTTCATTTAAACGGTATCAATTTTTGATTGCATCACCCACTACCTCTTCACCTAGTTAACATGTCGTCACAGCATCCGGTGATGGAACTTCATAACTTCATCTATCGACTTATCTTTTTTAAATAATATCCTTCCTCCTAAATTCGTTATTATTACTAGTCGAGTTGCTCTAAGCAAAACGGGTAATTGTTTGAAGGCAACTGTGGTGAAAGATTCCGAATATCAGCAACCATCTTCAATAGTAGGATAAAGCAAAATTACGCAGAAAACAGCTTACAAGAACCTACATACATAAGATCTTGACAGAAAGTTGCTTTCAATTGATGGTTTACAAGGACTTAGTTGGCTACAGACATCGGTTAGTGAACCACTGGAAAACCTAGGAGTACTGGACACAGTCAGTTCATCCAAGTTTGGGACTCTTCATCTGTACGCACCCACCGCAAGGGTTCGAAACCAGGACCTTCTGGTTACAAGGCCAGTGAGCTCGCAGACCATTAAGCCACTTGAACCTGATCCAATGGCCCATTAATTCCAACCTTCTGCTAGTTCAAGATATAGCGCGATCATCAATGGTCACTGTCATCAGCGAGTATCTGTCCTCACTCCCAACCTGATGTACCTCATTTTTCAACTCTCTTTAATCAAAAGTTTCACTTTAAAAGAAACAACATCGAAAATAGACGCATCTACGTATCATATTTTTGGTCTAGAAAGTAACATTTCCATTGGCCAAAACGCTGACGTGAAAGGAAAGACTCCAGCAGTGTTATATGCGACTTTACCATGGAATGTTTTACAATTTAGCATTATGTTGACATGGAACATTGAATCATTCCCAATAATAATACAAAATTTCTTATCTCATATGACTAGTTGACAAATGAACATAGAACTTTACTCAGACGTGTATCATCTCAAGTCGCTACACTTCAAAGTAGTAGGTACATAAGAAAATCGAGAATTAAAAATATCAAATGATACTACAGACAAAACTATAAGTGTAACAAATAAAATATAAGTGTATTCTCCAAAGAGAGTTACAATAGTGTGTTTTTTTCAAATACCAAGCTATGAGTCATTTTTATTACGTAAAGGCTGTTAAAACAAACTATTCAGTTACGTAGGCTGATGTCATTCGAGTGAAATTCGAAACAACTGGATGAAACTCAGTCTTTACTAGATGACGAAGTTTCGAACACAATTTATTGTTCATATTCATATCAATTATAACTACACAATTGAGAAACTTCCATTTTTATAGATTTCATTATTCTTTCCTATTTGTCGTCAAGGTAGTATAATTTTCCAGATGTCTGGGTGGATAGGTGTTGAATCATTTCTGCTACATGGATTTTCAGTTGATTGATTCGATAAATAAACCTTATATGTCGAATGAAGCTGTTTCTAGGTGAGTCAAAATGGTTTAATTTAGTGCTGAAATCTAATAACCCCAGTAGGATGTATGGTGTTGTTAAACCACCTATAGATGATTTTAGAAATTTACCTACTTATCAATTGTCTAAATATTTAACTAAGGGATTAAATCATCTTGAAAGCCACTCAAAATCTAGACTAAAAAATTCTTATGAACTAAAACATATATGGATTAGATAATTTAAAATTAGATAGTGAGGAAAAATGCTTAGTTTTGGTATTGTCGGTTTATAAACACATATACCAATAAATATGGTGATAGAAGCAGTCAGAAACGAATAACTTGAACTGGCAGTGCAGCTATGCCCGACTTCAACAAATTTTAAATTTCAAGGGAAAATATACAAACAAACTGAGGGAGTTGCCATTGGGTAGTAAATATCCCTGATAGTAGTAGACATATTCATGGATAGGTAGGAAACTTTGGAGATTGAAACATTCAGACCCACTACCAATGTATAGTGCAGGTATGTAAATGACATATTCAACGTACTTAGAACATAGAACATGAATAGACTTTTCGAACACATCAACTCGAAGGTAGAGGTAGTTCAATTCACTTATTAGTTGGAAAGTTAGGAAGGGGAGCTTTCAATGTTGAATTGCAGTGTAAAAAGGAAAGAAGGGAAATTAAACACTAGTGTTTACAGAAAATCCACAGATTCAAACAGATAGAGACAATGTTAAGCGTGAAACCTATGACTTGCTTTGTTATTAACAACATAATTTTAGGCTCTTTTATTTCTCTCTTATGTGTATTCTATAGTGAACTCCTTCTCAAACATACTTAGCTACCTAAATTATTAACATTGGCTTCCTTTTTTGTACTTCACTATATTCCTTCTATTGTGTATCCACTGCTTCCGACTCTGTTAGCACTATGAGTAGTACAAAATTGTCCTGTCATTAACCATCATGTAATTATTAGTTTTGTGGTTGTTTTTTTCTTATTTTCTATACTTTTCGGCAATATTAAACTGACAATCATTGGTTGTGAACGCCATAGTCACCACCTTAAAAAATTTTGTATTATTCAGGATTACCCACACTACCACTAAAAACACTGTATTAGACCTGACAATAAAAAACAAAACAACAACCCTGAAATGTTATTTTATGATTGTTTAGAGCTGTTTCAACCAAATTAACTGACCATCTTGGCGATAAACACTCTTAAATATCATTTCATAACTTCTTGTATGACTATAGCTTTACTGTCACCATGCATAATCATATCATAGCTTCCACTACCCAATACTGAGTTATTATTATATGATATTTATTTTCGCATTTATAATTATTTTTGTTTTTATCCTGTTTTTTTCTGCTGTTGGTGTCTTTAGATTTATTTTTTTTGTTAAATACTCCTTTTAAATGTTTGGTGAAATTAGATGCAAATATTGTAGATATGTGCTGAAAATTCCACACTGTACCACTAGTACTGTTTCTGGAATAAAGCAAATTATTATTATTATTTCAGATCATCCCACCCTATGTCAGCAAAGCCAGGACTGATGAAAAGTTTAAGCGATTGGCTACAAAAACTAAATAGTACCAAGGAAGATTTTAGATAGGAAGTGAGGCTTATAAGAGAAGCTTTGAAACTTAATGATTACCCTGATAAATTAATCAGGAGGTATGTAGGTGACTGTAAAAATAAAATTAATAATAATAATAATAACAATGACATACATGTCAAACATGCACAGAATGATGACACTAAGGAATTTAAATCGTCAGCAGTACTTCCATACATAGAAGGAACCTCGAAAACCTTAGGTCGAGTTCTTAACAATGCAGGAATAAAAATGGCCTTCAAATCAACAAACTCAATTAGAAATAAGCTTTATCGGTCAATGGATCCTGTGGTGCCATTTAAACAAAATAATTTAGCTTATCTAATACCTTGCAATAACTGTCAGGTCAAATACATAGGTCAAAGTAGTAGCAAGGAGCCAGTCAAGCTAGTGCAGCACAAACCTGCCAAACTTAGATTAGTTCAGCTATAGCACTACATGCAACCATAAACACAACCATACAATAGGACGTGATTAGATGACAGTTCTAAAATCTAATATAACAAGTTGGAGGGAGAGGTTGATAACTGAAGCTTCTTTACGAGTTTGACAACGGATTGATATTAGTTAGAGAAACATTGAAAACCAGGGAGTACTGGAGAGCTGTTTCACCCTAGTTTGGGAGGCATCCGCAGTACGCATTACCGCGGATGATTTTGAGTCAATTCATCAGGTTTGCATATATTTATTCTTATCATCATCTCGGGAAATCAGCCTAGCAACTTCCAATGTTATTCAGACCAGAGTAATTACTGACTTCTGTATTGGCGCCAATATGTGACCTAATTAAACCAAACGTCTTTCTATCTCTTAGCAGCACATGCGTCTCTTCTATTCATAATTGATAAGATTTTGAGACAGCAAGAAATAAGGTGGTGAAACTTTAGCATTGAAGCCGATTGAAATTCCATACTTTGTTTCTCTTGATTTTGTATGATGCACAGAAATACACCATTATTTATGAGCACAATTTATGTGGATATTAGGTTCATGTGAACACTCAATTGACATTGCCTAAATAGATATTTGGAATTTTAAGTACTCATTAAAACTTAATCGACATCAGAGATTACTATTGTGTTATAGGTAAACCATATTGAGTCGATAAATCAAGATTCTATTGGCCATAATACAAACTGACTGACTGACCTTCAAAGCAGAACTTACTAAACTCCATGTACCACAAAGGTACAGGAAAGGTAAAATTCAAAAGAACTCGAACACACAACCATACAATAGGATGGGATAGGATGACAGTTTTAAAATCTATTGTCACAGGGTGGAGGGAGAGATTCATAACAGAAGCTTTGTTTATCGAATCAATAGGAATGATCCAACACCTGTCCCAGATATCTGGAAAATTCTACTACCCCTACGACAAATAGGAGAAGACAAAGAAAACTATAAAACTCAAGTTTCAAAGTCGTGTGATTACAATCGATATGATTATGAACAATAAATTGTGTTCGAAACGTCATCCAGTAAATAATACTGTTTCACTGTGTGATACATCTAATAAACAAACTAATATGGAATTACTTACTACCACAGTGCCCAAGTTTTACACATATATTAATAGAACTCGAATGAACGGGAGAAAGAAGTGAATGCATTAGCGCCAAAGACAAAGATTTTCAGCCACACCAACAAGTCTCAAGTAATAAGGTTTCTAGAGTTTCGAAGACCCCAGCCAGGCATTCTCCACCGCCCTACATGACTCCAATCAACTGTCAAAGACTTCATCATTTGATGCCCAGATTTTGATTCGATCACTCCTAACTCTTCTCCGAACTCATCTGACAGCGGCTAACAGTGCTTAACGAGAAAGCAGATGGCATCATATCATGCGTAACTTATGCATTAACCACCTCAATCAGTGTTGCTTCACAACCTCATCAACTGACCCCCCCTTCTTACTTGACACTCTCTATGTGTAACTCCAATATTACTTTATTATTAAACCATTCAATAAGAGTGTACGCATAAAATTAAAAGTTATCAATATTCAACTTCAGAATTGAATGTTTCAGTCTAAGGAGTAGGTTAATTCAGCAACTTCGTCGAGAGATATGGCATCCACGAACTCAAATACTCACTGCACGCCTGCATGTAGCTACTTCTATAATTACAACCAATTAAACCGCCCTGTTAAACAACTCTATGCAGTAGAAATCCTACAGATAATTTGGACACGTTTACTACTTGAACCATTTGCTTATATACCTCAATCTGCATAGTGTAAAAGAAACAACTATGTTAACAATAAAAATAGTAATAATAATAACAATATATACTTACATCAGATGCATGAGACGGAACAGTGGGTGAATTCACACTAGAATGCAACTGGGGATAGGAAGACCAAGAAGAACAAAAAGGACTCGACACAGAAGAATGAGGCTCACTGGAAACACCAGAAGTCCAAAATCCGGATAAAAGGCCATGAGTAGATCCACTAAGCGAATCTGATCGACCTGTTTTACCCCAACTTGATAAGACTGGGCATAAACCACGGAGAAATACTAAATTACAGACAACCACATGGCTATGATTAGGAGGATATAGGGCCTATAAAAAAAAGAAAGGAACAAAATTAATTACATAATAAGGCTGATATAACACATCTATTCTTTGTATCAATATTCATACACTGTATTTTTAAATAAACACCAATCTATAATAGTGACTTTATATTTCATCAGTCTACACACCTAAACAAAAAAAAATAAAGAGTCACAGGATCCGAAACCCTTTCCATACACTATGCTCTGAACAGTTAAACAACACCACTAAACCTCATTAAATAAGCGTGTCTCATTCCATCATAAATAAATCTGTAAGCAATTGTGTACCTGCACTGGTTCGAAAACTGATCTGCCATATTTCTAAACTGCTGTCGAAATTACTATTATTTCTGCCTTAGGTCCCATATGGAAGAGTACACCACATCTCCATTTCATCCTGTTCCCTCCAGTCCTCTTTAGCTCTCATCTCCTCTTCACATTATCTCCGTATTACCCTCAAATACCCAACACTCCTCGCCTCCCGCTTGCACACCATTCGACAATCTGTCTGCCAGCTTAATGTCTCATCAGTCTATTTCCAATACATCTCCAATCTACAATTAGATGGTGACTATGAGACGCGATTCCATCATACATGGAGAATTTTAAAATCAGTTTATTTTGTGCTAAAATTTGCGCTGACGATGTTGTCTAGGAGGATGACGAAAGCTCCGCAATTAAACCAACTACTTGCATATCATCCACCTGAGCTACGAATCTTCTCCATTATTTAAACATCTCTAATCTTTTCTGCAAATTACTTCAGCAATTGATTTTTTTGTTAGTTCGTTACCAGAGCTCTTCGTTGCTTACTGTTTCCAGAGAAAGTAGCTGCTGATTAAAGTCGGCAGCCTGTTGGAATCTTATTATCTACTGTTGTTTGCTTCATCATGAATCGATATTATCAGTTGGAGGACTTGTGAAACCGAAAGTAACAGACTGCTCTTTCATACTACTTTAGGACTCCTCGACAGTGAATACTCATGATCCCAACGTGGACAGAAACCACGACCTTCAGTATATTATTAGGCGAGCATTTTACCAATCAATCAGTCCCTGGAACAGAATCCATGAATTCTAACTTCTGTTGATTTGTACTATAATACAACGCCAGCGCCAGTCGTCAATGTCATCTGCGAGTATTTGTTCCCACACCTACTTAACTTGGTGGACAACAACATAAGTTACAACATTTCACTAGAACTTCAGTAATTACCATCTTTCAACAGAAAGATTTATTGGTTGTGGGATTTCTTCATGAGTTGACACCAATTAGAGAACCATTGGAAAACCAGCTGGGAGTACAGGACAGTTGCTTCGTCCTAGTTTTGGACTCTTCATCGGTACCCATCCACCAGGGTTAGAACCCAGACAAAACCTTCCGGTTACAAGGCGAGCTCTTAAAAACCGTTAAGCCACTGGGACTCAATTGTGTCTGTCTGTCTTCGAGATAGAACTTTGCACATATGTGCGACAGTTCAAGTCGCCACACTACATGTAGTACACAAAGCAAGAGAAGAAAGTAGAAGAAATGCATAATATAGACAGTAAACAGAGGTGTGAGACAAAGGAATAGTAATATCGAAGAACGATATAATTTCACTTGAAATCATAAGTCAGAAGAAGTGCATGCATCTGCACCATTGAGAACGATTTTGAGCCATGTCACCAACTGTTTCCACCCATTGGTTTTCACCGTCCCGAGGACCCCAACCAGGAAGTCTACATCTTCCTACGTGGCTTAAACTAACTGTTGTGGATTTCATTGATTGATGCTATGTTTTCGTTTGACTGCCACTAGCTGTTTTCCAGTCTGACCCTATGTCGTCTAACTTTCCCCGTCGAGGAAGCGATGACAAAGCTTACGTAACACATGTCCTAACCATCTCAGTCGAAGTAATTTCACAGTTTTGTCAATTGATTTCCCCTCCTTACCTAGCACTCGACGCCTAACCTCAATATTGCTCACCTTATCATTCAACTTCACGCGGGAGATAGAACGCAGACACCTATGATCGAAGACAGCTAATCTTTTCATGTCTTCTGCTCTCAATGGCCAGGTCTCACAGCCATAAGGGAGGATGGAGCGGACTGATGAGCAGTACACCCGCCCTTTGGTCGATAGCCGGATATCGCGTCTACTTCAGAGACGGCGTAAACTGGCATATGCAAAACTAGCCCTCTGTATCCGTATTGAGATTTCGTCAGAGATCAACCCGTTGGGACTCAATTCAATGACCCATGAATTCTAGCTTCTGCCAATTCACGACAAAAACCAATACTTGAAGAAGGATTTATGTTGCCTCACAGAACTATTTCACCCAGGATTACACTCAGATACACAATGATTAAGAGCAAGACAGCATTGAACAATGTTGGTAATTCACTCCATATTGGATTATGGATAGGCGCATACTGATTGCTGAAATGACTAGTTTATGATTGTAGTATCTCTTAGTATTTTTATTATTTTCTGTATAAAACCAATGATTATTAATTACGGTGTAATAAGACAAATAAGGAAACATGATTATATATGTATAAATATATATGTCTACCCCCCACCGGCAGAAAATTTAGAAAAACATGTTTATACCTGTAATTCAGAATAGATCCATCGCATTTGTAAAGGGAATGTACGAACATGTGAAATAAGATCATCTACAACAATTGACAGGAGATAATAATGCCATTCTTGTACACGTGTGTGATGTTGTAGTGAGCCTGAACACAAAAAAGCCATAGCAGTAATAAAAAATATAAAAGTAATAATAATAATAAAAGTTTTATTTTCTAAATAACAAACAACAAATGAATTATACATAAAACACAGTTTAGTTAGTAACTATGCAGACATTTTATAATTGCCTCAGAAACTCTACCTACTATATAAAGCAGGTGGTAGGTAAATTAGCTGCCTAGATCATGATAGACAGAAGATGAGCTAGATGAAAACTATGAGCTAATGTTTGAACCTTGGATAGAATAGATCAGAGAGCGATAAAGGAATCGACAACAGGCATGGTTATGTAATCATAGAACTGAATAACTCTGCTTCACAACCACCCCCTGAAACAACCGCTTGCACATCTGTACACTTGACAATCAGCCACATATATTTTGTGAGCACTAATGATACTAAGTGATGGATCAAACCTCGGTAGTTGAAGTTTAGACAGGATTTGAAACCGTAGTAGTTAGCAGTCGAATGCACATGTTGTAATGGCTTACCATAGTCCCACACAGCACTGACGATTACATGATGAAGGGAAATACTGTGTAGTTTGATTTCTTACATACAGTTTTATTACACTGGTCACTTTCACCTACTTATTTTACATTTACCCTATTTTCCCTCTTTAATACCTTTCTACAGGTTTCGTTTCAACCACTACCACCATCCTATTCTCCCTCCGACTATATTCTACTCGACGTGGAATTACTTCAGAAACATGGTAATGAAGGATGATGATGATGCAGCAGTTTGACAGCATATATAAGTTTACTTATTGCATGGAGGATTTCGTCATGAGCTAACATTGGTTAGAGAACCACTGGAAAACCTGGGAGTACTGGACATCTGTTTCGCCCTACTTTGGGACTCTTCACCAGTACGCACCCACCACCACTGTTCACACCCAGGACCTTCTGGTTACAAGGCGGGATAGCTCGTAGACCATTGAGCCATTGGGACCCTATCCAATGGCCCTTGAATTCTAGCTTCTGTCAATTCATGTCATAGCGCGACCATTTCGCAATGTCTTCTTTGATGAGTTACTATCTCACCTGCAACCTGCTGTACCCTACTGGTCACGGCTTCCCACTAGAAGGCTGAAAGTGAGGCAGTAACTAATCAAAGAAGACATTGCGAAATGCTCACGCTATGTCATATATTGGCAGAAGTTAGAATTCAAGGACCATTGGATCGGGTCTCAGTGGCTCAATGGTCTACGAGTTCTCCTTGTAACCGGAAACTCCTGGGTTCAAACCCGGGTGGGTACGTACCGCTTAAGAGGACGAAACAGCTGTCCAGTACTCCCAGGTTTTCCAGTGGTTCTCTAACCAATGTCAGCTCATGATGAAATCCTCCATGCAATTAAACAAAATCCCTACAAAACCAAAACCTGAAAAGTTTACTTATTGTCTGGCTGGTGGTGTCATGAAGACGCTCAGAACCGATGGTTGAATACTATCACAGTGTTATCGCTGAAAATTGTTCTCAATGACATAAATGCATTGCTGCTTTGCTTTGATTATCCAGATTCATTAGCACCTCAACATTCTTCATGTTGTTATTCCTCTTTCCATTTTTATTATAGTTCCCCTTTGTATTTCTTTTCTCAATCTTTATGTGTAATTTTATGAAGTGTGCTGCAAAGCTTTATGTAGGAAACTCAGTCAGTCATATGTTGATTAATATATGCTTTTTGGGGGGTCCTTTCCCATTGCCTATAGTTAGTTACAATTTATCTTCCCACACTTGTGCGTCGGTGGCACAATGGTTAGGACTCTCGCCGACCATGTACATGGTCCAGGGTTCGATTCCCTGTCGACGCACACCTGATATCTATGGTCGGCCTGCAAAATTTGGGCTACCGATACCACATGCTGAAAATTCCATACCTGTACCAAAAAATACTGTGTGGAATCAAGCTGTAATAAAAAAAACTTATTGCATGAGGGATGACCTGACGCAAAATTCTAACGCTGAATCTTTTCGGTCAAGATTCAGTCAAGTTATCAGGTCAGCAAATTATATCTTCTCAAATTATGCCAAAAAAAAATTTGTAAAATACCAGTATATACAAGGCCATATACTATCTCCGGTGTTCTTTCTATTGGTCAGGTGGACTGGATAATGGGACAGACCCTAATGAGTGTGAAAAGACGGTGACACAGACATACAAGGCTGATAGAAATACCCTTCTTGTGCCATATATATTCAAAAAGTGACGACCAAAACCAAGAAGTTTATTCAAGAGACGGCGAAGAGCATACTTCAAGTAAACCTACAGAAGACTGAGGTGAAGAAGACACCCAACAGCCAACAACAACAACAGCAACAACAAACACCAATCACCAACAATAGTAGAAATCTAAAGACAATAGGATCAGCCAGACAAGCATACATTAGTCTGAAATCAGTGTGGAGATCCACATTTTAAAGCACTTAGTACAAGGAACAACTTACGAATTTTTCAAACCACAGTGTCAAGTCAATGCGTTTATATGATGCACAAACTTGACTCGTAGCGCGTCAATAAAATCATTTCGAACAGCCTGCTATAAATTTGCACCAACAGGTGCCTTTACTCGATATTGACGATCAGATGACCGGTCGGGAAGGATAGACAACAAGGAACTCTGACAGAGAACCAACCAACAACCTAATGCTCAACAAATTTACATTAAAAAATGGACATACGCTAAAGAGACAATGGAATGACACATCAGGCCTTTAAATAGAACCCAAATGAGAAGCGACGAGTTAAACGCTCAAGGGTGACATGGAATAGATCATGTAAAAAGAAGATGAAAGCTTATGGGTAATCATAGAGGCAACTATAAAAGACAGCACAGACAGAACAAAGTGAAATGGGGATGTGCTTCTGAAGCCCAATGTTCCAATGGAAATCCATGGCACAAATAATAATACACAATAATCATTGCAACCAGCTGAGTTTAGAAAAGCCACCTAAGAAGAAATGCAAGGTTTCGAATGAATGATTTAGTTTTATCTTCTCCATGAAGAAATGTGTATTGACTAACTTTTTTTATTTTCATAGTTAAGTGGGGTTAAAGAGTTTTTCTCTATCCTTCACCTGGCCGTTTCGGTAGGGGTATCTTAGTAAAAAACTTAAGTCGTAACTACTGAGGCATAACTGATAACCCAACCTGGATGCACGGTTCGGCCTAGTGTGTCAGGGTTATTGTAACCACCTAAACCAAGGTGAGGGGTTTAGCCCCTAGACCACTGAGTCACGTTTTTTCAACAAAAAGTTATGCCATGATTCTGTACTATTATACTTCGTGAAATTCTCTCTGAAAATATATTTTAATGCAAGGATGCAAGAGCATCATAAGCACTGATTAAGAAGCACTTAGAGAGTTTACATAGGGCTATTTTTTCCTTCTTTCCTTTATGTTCCGAGTGGAACATAGAACTTCATACTTGAAATGTCAACTCTCAGTAGTAGTGATTTTAGTTTTATAGAATGGGGTGGCTAGCCACACGCCTAACCTTCTCTTTCTTCACTGGGCTTACTAACAAGTTAGGCGAGCTGTAGGAGTATGTAGGCTGAGAATCAAAACTAGACAAAGACCATATAACTGGCAAGCATTCTACACCACTGATCCACCGATCCACTGTCTACACAGGTAAACTGACCGCGATCTTCAGTGCAGAAACAAATCAATTTGACATAAAAATTTTCCTTCTTTCTTGTAGTGAAGCTTATAATGCATTCACCGAATCAAACAAATAAAAGTGTTATCATTTGAATAACTTACTCAAATTTGACGTAGGAGAGGAGGCTTGATCAAATGTTACAGTTGTAGCAGCTCCAGTCGACAATGAATACGGTCGTGTTGTCAATGATTGATGAGAATTTACATTATTTGTACACTGATAAGCATTTCCAATACCAGAACGTTGTTGATAACTTGGTGTAGACTTTGCATTATTATTATTATTACCATTGCAACTATTATTATTACTACTATGAACTTGACTACAATTTAAAGATGGATTTGATGATGAAGTTGAATGACTAGATGTTGGCAATGGTCCTGGAGGAGGACCTTCAAGTGCTTTTTCGCATACACGTCGAAAACATTGACTTCGCCAAGCTGAACAAACAGTATTACTATACATGTCTAGAATTTGTGCTCCTAAAGAACTACTCCGAAAAGAAGTATCTAAGATAGAAAAGGAGAAAAAACGATTTACAATAACAAGTTTAAAAAAGACGGAACAAACAATCGATTGCCATTGACTAAGACAATACTAGAATTCCAATTCAATTATGACAACCACCTATTTAAATTATCTTTTTTTATCATCTGAAGGGATGGTTACGCAATTATGATTTATCAGTGTGCGGAACGTGTAATAATCAAGGAGTTGAACACCTGGAAACTACAAATGCACGCATCATTCGTAATGGTTCACTTCTAAGAAGTGCAACATGTTATTATTTGTCGCTTGACAGTCACATTGGACACTTGATCAATGAATATTTACCAAAAGTCCCTGAGACTACACTTGAGTTAACGATGTGACTATGATTTGGCCGATACAGAACGATATATAACCCGATAATTCAAGGTCTATTTATGAACAAGTAAAGCGATTTCCTTAGTTTTAGTTGGCTATATGCTACTGACAAGAGTTTTTTAAGTAGCATACACTGTGACATCATCTGCAAATATCTTGCACAGAGAAGAGACAGGTGAAAAGTAACAAACATGGGGGATGGCAATTGTTAGTTAACATAGAAAGTATGAAATGAATAGGGAGAAAAAGAAAAGAGATGTATGAGGTAGCAGAATGCAAATAGTTTGTGTGAATTGGATTTTGCCCCTCTAATGGATGTAATTTCCTTAACATGCATTGGTGATCCTCATTTACTTCGTCACAACTGATGTCAGTGCCTTCGACTAGATGAAAATCCCCTAGGCATCAACTTCCTAGGAGCAAGACATATAGAGTTACCTGGAGAACTTCCAGGTAGTTGTAGAGTTGGCAGACAATGAAGAGTTGCTGACTAAGGTGAAACGTCGAGAGAAGAGTGGAACAGACAGGCAACAGAAGAGGCAATAGAAGATGTCACACTGTAACGCACATACCGTAGCACATTTTATTTTATTCCTTTACGTTCCTCCAGTGGATTGTAGGACTTCAAGCTAGAACATTGAGGTTTCGGTAGCAGTGGTGATTATTTTTACGAGGTTAAGTTGCTAGTCTCACACCCAACCTACCCTCTTTACCAGTCTTACTACTACTGACTTAGCGAGGTTTAGAAATGAGTCAGTTGGGGATCGAACCCCAGGCAATGTGTACTGCTGAACCACCGACGCACCACTGTAGCACATAACACAATAAAATGCAATACGCAAGATTCACAGTTAATATCTTAATGGCTTAGAGAATAAATTAGATACACAATACCTCTTGGATTACCAACATCTGCTAACAGCAATTTAAAACAAATAAATAACACTAACAATAGTGACGATAATAATAATAATAATAGTAATAATAATATCAAGAATAAATCTTACTTGGTTTATCATTATTTACATCAATACGTAATAAATTGACAATTAATTCCAAATGGCAATTCAATTCAATTGTAGTTAAAAGAAGGCTGGAGACAAAATTCGCTTTTCTTACATCAAGCGCTAAAGCACTCCAAACATGTATACACAAAGGTACTAATTCTGAATGCAAACAATTCAGTATTGTCTGTGTAGTAAAGCCAAAGAGAAAGAAAAAGAAAATGAAACAACATTAAGTAAATTAGACGCACAAAAAATAAAATTACTCTGGAATATCTAAATAATAAAGAAGAATGCCTATAATTAATTGAATATAATGATGTTGTTAGGTTATCAAGTTATCAAGATCCAGGTTCGATTCCTATAGCCTAGACAATCCTAAACCTCGTCTAGCAGGTAGTAAAGCCGGTAAGGAGGGAAGGTTAGAAGTGAAGTATGCAAGCGACCCCACTATGTAAAGAAAAAACAAGCAACACCACTACTGAAATTACAAGTCTCAAGCCACATGCTTCACTCAGAAGACAAAGGAATGAAAAAGGGTTAAATCGTATAGTAACCATCTTAAGAATGGATATCATGTGTATCAAACGCTCATAATGGACGACAACATGTCCGAATCTTCAAGGGGACAACAGTTACTTCAGTGTGGCGGATACACAAAGAATCACGACACTTAGGTTAATGGCTAAATAATGCTTCTAACCATGTATAACTGATTTAAAGAAGCATCACAATGACGAGTCAGATAAGTTAGTGACAGATAGTAACTGATAGAATCTAATCACGTCTAACACTACAGAGTACATGCATAACACAGGTTACTAACTAATGACGAATGCGATAAGATTTCGGTTGGTGATGACTAGCATTGGATTCTATGATGTGCATTTCGCAGCAGCCAGAACTTGTCAGCTGGATGTTCCTGCAGCCCACCCACCCCAAGTAAGTGATGTTCCCACTCAGACTCAGACTTATCGTTACAAACGCCAAACGCCATTATCTACTAGACCACGGGAAATGTAAATGATTTAGGAATTCGAATTCACTATAATAGTTCACGTGCACACAATCAAGGGATTATCAAAGTTGATAAAGATTAGTACTATAAACGACAGATTTATTTTTCTTATACTATACCCTCATTTTCTGAAAGCGACATTTCGGAAACCACTAGTCTGTCGCTCATGAGCAGTGTTACTAAAAAATCACATTGAGTCTCATAAATTTCTTCTCTAAATGATACACCACATCCCAACTTATGAAAAAAAAACAAGAGGATACAATTTACATTTTGGTGATATATATATACTACTAAATACCTACTACTGAGAAATGTAAATTTATACTCAAAAGATAGATGTGACACTATATCACCGATCGACAGAAGCTGAAAATCATAAACCCTCTGATTCCACACCAGTGGTTGGATGGGAACATACTCACCTTGCGACCTAACAGTCCTAGATACGATGTCTAGCATGGACTTTATACAACAAGAGTTACTGAAGTTGTTTTTGTTTTCAGAAACGATGACAGATAAAGTGTGAATATCAGGAAACATAAGACACTTGCTTCTATAATAATTGTGAGCATATTCTTCAAGTATACAATAGAAAAACGCCTGGGATTTTGATGTTCCCTGTTAAGTTTTATTACGTTTTTTTTTGACAAGATCCAGATGGAAAACAAAAATAATCTGTAATAGAAAAGTTTTCAAATCATGACGAAAACAATTCGCATGGATATTTTATTTCTTGGAATACACTACCCACCTTCGTACCCATGCATGAAGGAAGAAGCATACCCTGCTCAACAAATGTATACAAATTTCTGCACAACTGGCGACCTGCTTAAAAATTGGGCTACCAGAAACTTGCATCTCCCTAGTGCATATATGTCCTCTCGTTCAGTTTGTTAAAAATGATTAAGATATGACCTCTGTTGGTAATATCGACTCTGATGTGTATTTAAAGTGTTTACAAGCGCTCCTGATTCGCAAATTCCTACTAAACTTGAGGAATGACCTTATTGTGCGTGGCAACGTGTCCCCATACATGGGATAACTGTCCTACAGTCATGTCCGTGGGTCTCAAAATGTACTTCTGAACATCTTACAATTGGCTTTCAACTAAATCGATATCGTGGATTTCTTCAAGGAGACAAAGCAGATATATCATAATGGAATGGCTTGTGATTCGGCTCAGAGACTCTTGTGTCACAGGATTTACTGTCAATTTGAAGATATTGTATGAAGGGAAAATATCATGTAATAAACTGTTCATTTTATAAATGCTGTCCAGAATACAAAGATGTTATTATTTTAAAAAAAATAATACATATATAAAAGCAATCCTCAACTTAATTGTTTAAAGCTCTGTAACATGATCTGATCATTCATAAAACTAACATTGTCTCCCATAATAATAATAATAATAATAATAATATATTATCAGCAGCTTGTTTGAATCACCAGGCTATCTGAACTTTCAGCCAACATAATACATCGAATTTTCTCTATTTCTTATTGTTTTAATCATTCATTTATGTGATTGGGTCGTGGAATCTACTCACGCACATTTTTCATTGACTTTCAACCTACCCGGTGTGCATTTCTCAGAGATGAAGAGAAAATATCATAAGGGATTAATTAGTCTATGTTTTGATTTGAACAGCATTGTATCACATGCTATTTTGGTTGAAGATCCTGTCTGTCCCTGTCTGGATTCAACATAGAACTTGGCACCGAAGTGCACCAGTTCGAGTTGCCACGTTCCAAATAGCACACAAAGGTAGACAAGAAAATGAGTGAAGAGAATCAATAGAGTTTTGACAAGTATAAGAGTGAAACAGAATGAGTAATGGTAGAAAGGAATATGAAGGTTAAAGAGACTGAATACATCTGCGTAAGCCATTGACAACGATTTTGAGCCATGTCACCTATTGTCTCCAGCCATTGATTCTTAGAATCCCAAGGGCCCCAACCCGGAAGTCTGCATCTCCCTACCTGACTCAGTGTGACTGTCAGGGATTTCATGGATTGATGCCATGATTTGTTTGGCCACCACTTACTCTTTTCCAACCTGCACCTATATCAGCCAGTAGTAATGCCCGTCGGGGGAGGCGATGGCTAGGCATGCGCAGCACGTAACGTAGCCATCTCAATCTATGTAACTTTATAGCCTCGTCGATTGATTTTCCCTCTTTTCCCTACACTCTACGCCTGACGTCAACATTACTTACTTACCTTATTATACCACCTAACGTGAGAAAGAGATCGTAGACATCTATGATCAAAAACAGTCAACCTTTTCATGTCTTCAACTCGCATTGGCCATGTTTCAGAGCCATAAAGAAGGACGGAGCGAACTCCTGAGCAGCACACACGTCCCTTGGTTGATAGCCGGGTGTCACGCCTACGCCAGAGATGGTGTAACTTAGCGAAAGCAGCTCGAGCTTTTTGGATCCGTGCTGAGATTTCGTCGCCAATCAGTCCGTTGGTGCTGATACAACTTCCCAAATAGGTGAAGTGGTCAACATGTTCTATCACTTCACTCCCTATCACTAAGCTAGGAGTTGGCGTAGCCCAGTCCTGTAGCAGCATCTTACATTTTACAGGGGCGAATCGCATGCTAAACATACGAAGATTGCTGCTCAAGGTGTTCAGAAGACTCTGCGTTTTGTCAGCATCCTCCCCTAACATGACTATGTCATCTGCATATTCTAAGTCCATAAGACTATTCCCTGGTAACAAGTCGATTCCTAAGTCGTTAAGTCCAGTTAAGGATACTTCCACTAGCATATCTATGATGAAGTTAAACAGGAATGGGGAAAGTGGACATCCTTGACAGACACCACTGGTTGTTAACAATTCAGATGACAATTTCCCATAAGCCCTTACATGGCTACGTGAGTTTGAGTAGAGTGCCTTGATTAGCGCAATGCACTTTCTTGACACTCCCTTCACAGTCAAACATTGCCATAGTACCTTTCGATCCACGGAGTCGAAATTGAAGATCCTGGGTGAAGGGAAAGTGTATTACTCAATAAATTATTCTAAAAAATTTTGAATATTGTGTAAACATTTTGTCCATAATAAAGCTGTTATTATTATTATTTTCGAAATAAGGAAAACAGGTAAACATTTGGCATATATATATATATATATATACCAGAATATTCAACCGTTTAAAATACATATTCTAAGCTGACAATATAAGATACATTGAACATAAAAACACTGTAGTATTTATTACCTGACGAAAACCTTCATAAAATTGAAATGGTATAACATGTAATTCTCTATGAATAACAGTTATCTGCCCATTACTACGTTCTTGTTTATCACAAATAGAATAATGCAATACTGCTGAAGATGAAGATAATGAGGATGAAGAAGAGTGAATGACAGAAAGTCGTTTATCATGATCAGTTGTTGCAGAACAATTGGAATTGCTTCCCTGTTGACGTGCACCAACATTGTATTGTACAAGATCTAAGTCTACGGCAACTTGATGAAAGAAAAAAAAAAGAATAATCAGACGGTATGAAGGTATACAGGTAGTAGCATTCAATTGAATGTAAAATAATAAACATAAGCAACTAATTCGCAATATCTACTTGAATTTCGTCAGCAAGCGATGTGAATTAAAAACGTTCATGGACAGTGGGGTTCACCATATTTAGTGTGCAGAGGATTCTCATCGCAAAAAGACAAAGGTGAGAGTTGGTGAGCCATTACTACTCCGTGTCTCAGTGGATAATTGTTTAACGTGCTCACCTACCAACCTGAATGTTCTGAGAGTCCAACCCTTAGTGCGATCGTGAGCTAGGAAGACAGCTATAGAGTGGTGCTTTTAGTTTCATTTAGTCCCTAAATGATGTAAATCCGTGAGGTGATCTATGTTGGAATTACCTACACAAGGCAAAAATCGAATTCATAATACGTTTTGGGATAGAACGGAAAGTCTAATTGTCTATCGATACCATATGCTTGTTGCGTTTGGTTTGCAAATAGCTCTTTAGGCATCGATGCTATGGACCGACGTACCATTCGCCTTACTTTCGTGATTGTTATTTATGACACTAAGCAGATAACAATACGTTGTGATCTAAATACTCTAACTTTATAAGGGAAACCATGGTAAAGTTTAATCTTGGACTGTGTAAATTGTAAAAAATGATGTTTTCTCACAAACTATTGTTTTATTCGAAAGCAAGTGAAGACAGAAAAGACGGAGGTGATGAAGATAACCAACCAACCAACCGACAACAACAACAACGAGCACCAATCACTATCGACGAAAAAAATTCGAAAGCAGTCACTTCCTTCACTTATCTAGGCACTATCGTTTTAACCACAGGCAGAGCGAATGGATATGACAAAGCCAGAAGGGAAAGACAAGAAGGATGTTAATCACTTTGAAATTAGTTTGGAAAATTTCCCCACTCAGCATAAACAACAGAATTCGAATTTTTCAACAACTATGTCAATCCAGTTCTTCTATAAGGGTCGAAAACTCGACTCGTCACCAAAAGCATTTCCTAAAGGTTTCAGGCTTTTGCCTTCGCTAACTTCATCTTGAAGTAAAGATGACCAGAAAGAATTAGAGAGAGGGATATCTGGGGACGAGCCAGCCAAGAACCTATTGGCCAACATATACGCTGAAAGAAATGGAGATGGATCGGACACATCCTGTCAGGATATCGAATGCCAGGCCATCGGTCGAGTGGAACCCGGAAGGGAAATGACAAGTTGGGTGTGGGTGACATGGTGAAGATCGCGTGGCGAGGAGATGAGCAATCTTAGGGTCAGTTAGGAATGACTGCAGAGAAGAGGACAAATTAGAGATGTGCTGTTGACGCCCTATGTCCCACTCGAAACCCACGGAAATAATAACAGTAACGTAACGAAAGTCTATTCGCTTCATTCATTCTGTGCCGAGGTTTAGTTACTCATAACTTTAGTATTCACACTAATAAAATATTGCATATCCAAATAGAAATCCCAATCACTTTTGAACTTAATAGACAAACGTTAGCATATGTCATTATAAATGTGTGAGACAATGTAACCGCGCAATTTGTGTCATTCATATATTGAAAGGTATGTACTGTCATGTACACTGAACGATCTATACATAAGATCATACAGACACTGGTTATTGTCTCATCAATCCATACTGACTGAGGAATAAATAATGGAAAAGAAAGAAACTGAAGACGTTCGATGGACAGCCTTCTATTACGGTTCACGGCACATTAGTAAATCCTAGCGAATATATGCACCACCTTCAAAGAGGTACGGTGATCGTTTCCTTTAGCATCCTCAACTCATCATCTACTTGCTGGCGTACTATTTATTATTCAGTGAACGACTAATCATATTGAGATGTAAATGATGAAGAAACTTTCCGTTCTGACAAATTATTTCCAACAACAAAAGAAAACCACACTGTGCAATAGAATTTGTTGTGTAGACAAAAAAAATAAGCCAAAATCAACAGGATACGTGTGGTGAATGCTAGAAAACAGTTGCGCAATAAGAAGGAAAATTCTACATCGGTAGGGAGGCAATGAATAGTAATTATGAGAGAAGGTAAGCTTTAGACCCCAATACCCATGAAACGCAGAATCAACAAGTTAGTGGAAGCAGATAAATAATATCATGATCATCGGGTAAAATGTGCTTAATGAAGTGGAGTGACATTAAACGGAATATCTGGTTAGTTTTTAGTTGGGCCAGAAACAAGTTAGGGACAAACTGACCTAATTAGAGAAATATTGTGGTTAGGTTAGGAATAGATTAAGGCAGGCAATGGTTAGGTTACAGACATATTAGGGTTAGGTTTAGAAGACTAAATTTACCTTTCGGCGCTACAGCTTTTTCCAGGGTATTTAGTGTGTTCGGTCCTCTTTGGTGCCTAAAGTTTAATTTTGCCGCATTATGTAACGGATGTGGAAATAAACTATCTACAAGTACAAAAATGGAGACTCAGTTGGGAAGAGGGTGAAGTAAAATACTTATAAAACGAGAAGCAATCAGATAACAGATAGTAAGACTATCTGAGAACATATGAGATGAGTCAGCACACTGTTATCGATATGCGTGATGGTTTAAAATGAAATGAAAACTCGGATCTCTTGAATCAATATGTGATTAGGATTGACAGAAGAAGACGCAGCAGAGCAGAAAGTAAAAGGGTTAGCGGACAGTAGCCTCTATGAACGGAATAAATTTAAAAGAGGTCACTTCCTTCACTTGTCAAGGAAGCATCGTTTCAACTGCATGCGAGAGCACGGATGAGGATGTCAAAACCGATATCGGAAAGACAAGGCACACCGTAATCACTCTGAAATTAGTTCGGAAATCTTCTGAACTCAGCATGAGGGACAAATTTGGATCTTCAGCAATCGTATCGAGTCAGTCAGTTCGTCAGTATGGGTCAGAAACTCGACACGAGAGTCATGAAAACACTTCCAACCTGTTGCAAACTTTTATCACCAGTTGTCTTTGCTGGCTTCATATTGAAGATCAGATGGCTGGCCAGAAAGAATTAGCAGCAAGGCACTCTGGGGGAAAAACCAAGAACTTATTAATCAACAAATATTCTGAGGGAAATAGCGATGGATAAGACAGACACTGAGGAGAGCGTTGGATGATATTGTGCACTAGGCAATAGCTCGAATGGAACCCGAATATGAAACGACGAGTTGGGTGTGGGTCCGAGGGTGAAAGAGAGGTGGTCATGTGATGATGAGATGAAAGCTCATGGGAAATCTTAGGGTCCACTAAAGAGGACTGAAGAGGACAGGATAAAATGGAGATGTACTGTTGAAGCCCTATCTTCCAATTGCAACCCAAGTGAGAAATAATAATAACATATCATTCATTCACATGACACCTGGATATTGCTTGTGATGGATGTAATGAAATAATGACCTAGTTAGCAGGTGGGTCTCGTAGATCAATTGGCAGACTGTCATACTGAATGTTTCCCATAAGTTTTGACTTTTCTCCTTACGAGCGTTTTTGTAGGTGTAAGTGCATAGTACATATATGCGATTACGACTAAACTACTTAAATTAACTGAAAGAATTTATTCTTCTATTACCTGAAGGATCAACGAAATGGTCTAGAATTTGTACGTTAGTCTATTTTTAAATGATATATTCCCATTTCTAGTCGTAAAAATAGAGTCACAAACTCTATGATCGACTGAGTTTCAAAATAGAACTTTGCACAGAGGTCTAGAAGTTCAGCTTGCCTCAGTCGATGTAGGAAACAGAGGTGGAGAAAAGAAAGAAAAAAACTTCGAGGATTTAATGGATCTGAGAGACTACAAAGACTGAATGCATTTGTAACACTGAAAACAATTTTGAGCCATATTAACCAACAGTCTCAAGCCATTGGTTCTTAGTATCTCAAGAACCCTAACCAGACACTCTACACCTCCCCCTACATGGCTCAAACCAGCAGTTAAAGACTTTAAGAACTAATCCCAAGCTTTAGCTTGACCAATTCCAACTCTTGTCTAACCTAATCCTATGTCAGCTAAAACTGCTCAACGAAGGCGATGGCCCGGTTTGTGCGACACGCACAACTTTAAAAAAATCATGTGAATGTTATCCTTGTTATGTGCGATAAAGAAAGACCGACAGAATCTTCCAAACGCTTTCAACAAAATTCATTCATTAAGGAAGTATAATTCGGTGGATAAATGAAAACAAATGTACTATCCACTGCACATATACCTCATCGACTTAAGCACTCGTCTTTCAGCCAATAGGCCTGGATTTCGAGTTACACTCTTCACCAACGTCAGTCTGGGCATCTGAGTAGCATCATCACGCCTCATACAATAAGTGTGGTTTTTACCGGTTCAAACATTAAATTATTAGTTGTTTCTTAATATCAATAACTGCGAAATGTGGATTTAAAATACAATATCAATTTGGATTATGATCAGTCTTTTGTGTTCTTAAACTCCACACAGTAGCGCGAATGTGTAAAAGTACTACTTGCGCTCACTGCAAAGCACATTTATCAGTTTTCTTGTTCGTGACTGATTGACTGGTTTCAACATAGAACTTTGCACAGATGTGCGTCACTTAGAGTTGCCACATTCCATGTAGCACACAAAATAAGAGAAGAGAGTAAAGGGAAGTTCAAAAGAGAGATAAAAAACATAAGTGCGAGGGAAAAAGAATAATAATATAGAGGAACAATAGAGTTTTGTTGGATATAACATATCACTACAAGTGAACGCATCTGAGCCATTGAGAACAATTTTGAGCCACATCACCAATTGTCTCCAGCCATTGGTTTTTACCATCCCAAGGACTTCAACTTCTTGTTCGTGTAGAGTAAAGTATCTTAACCACTCGAATACCATACCAAAATGACTTTTGTTAACTTCACGTACCATCTATAGACAAATCACTCAAAATTTGCAGCTTTAAATCTGATCCATACACTCAAAACCAGTATACGCGTTCATTCCCTACCCCAGCCGATTATTACATGTTACTGTTGACTGTTTTTTATTCTTGTATAAATGCAAATTGAACACTTTACCATCTTTCTAACACTATATATGTAGGTAAAGTGCTTCCCTATCGTTCATTATTCTTACTGAATAATGATGTTCTACCGTACACTACTATTATCCAGCTCACTTTAATTTAAGTAGCTGTAGACAACATACTTCATTTCGTTAATCCATGAAGTCTTTGACAATTTATTTGAGCCATGTAGGGACCGTAGACTGCCTGGTTGAGGTACTCAAGAAGCTAAGAACCAACAGCTTCAGAGTATTGAGGATGTTGTTCAAAATTGTTACTAATTTATTATTATTATAATATTATTGTTTCCTTTAATTCCTAGAGGAACATAGGGCCTCAGCCGTGCGTCTCTATTGCATTCGGTTATCTGCTAAAGTCTTCACCTGGCTCCATGTCTGCCCACACGTTTTCATCTCCTCTTCACATGACCTCCTCCATGTCACCCTTGCACTGACGACCAACTCGCCGCTTCCCTTTCGGGTTCCACTCAATGGCTTGTCTAGTGATGTCACTTGATGGCTAATCCATCTCCATTTCTTCCTGCCTATTTGTTTCACAATCGGTTCCTGCTGGGTTGGTTCGCTCCCAGAGATCCCTGTTGCTGATCTTTTCTGGCCATCTGATCTTGATTATTGAGCAAAGGTAGCTGTTGATGAAAGTCTGCAGTTTGCTCGAAGTGGTCTTTATGACGCGCCATTGACTTCACATTGGAGCTAAAAATCCGGATCTTACTTTTGATGCTTAGTGCTGTTGACCTCCACACAGACTTGAGAGTAGTGAAAGCTTGTCTTGCTTTTCCGATTCTTGCTTTGATATCCTCGTCAGTTCCACCTGTAGTTAAAACGATGCTTCCCAGGTAGGTAAAAGGGGTTGTTTCTTTCAGGTTCCTCCCATTTATGCTGATTGTTGTTTGTTGTTGTTGCTGCTGTACAGGAATTTTCATCACCTCTGTTTTCTCTATGTTCACCTGAAGTCCTATCTTCTCCGGATGCTTCTTCTGCCAACTTGTTGCTTTTCGCTTGCATATCTTCCAGTTTGTGGGAAATCAGACATATATCATCGGCGAAGTCCAGATCCTCCAAGCTTTTTGTGTGAGTCCATTTTATGCCTGTTTCCTCATTGCCCGCTGTCTGTCACATTATCCAGTCTGCTGCAATCAAGAAAATCATTGGCGATAGTAGGCAGCCTTGTCTTAATCCTGTCCTCACTTCGAAGGATTCCGTAAGTTTCCCGTTGTGGATTACTTGGCATGCAGCATTGTCGTACAGCTGTTGGATGAGATGTATAATTGTCGGTGGCACCCTATAGTAGCGAAGTAGTTTCCAAAGCACCTCTCGATCGACGCTGTCGAAGGCCTTTTCAAAGTCGATGAAGTTGAGACAGAGAGGTGACTGCCATTCCAAGCTATTGAGGATGTAGTTCAAAACTGTGACTAACGGTACAGATGAATTCACTCCTGACAACCTCACAGATCCATTAAATTCTCATGTTTTTCCAATGTTACTATTCTTTCTTCCACATACACACACACATCTGCTTATCATGGTTCATTTCAATCTCTTTTTCTCTTTTGTGTAATCCTTGTGTACTATTGTGGAGTATGGCAACTTGAACTACTGGACTTCTATGCAAGGTTCTATGTGGAAACTCGATCAGTTATCCACTTGACTGTAAGTTTATGATCTGTGAACAACAAATTCAACTGTACAATTTTTCTAAATGATTATTTCGAAACGATATTCTCTTCAGTGTTTCATCATTTTTTCAAGAATTAATCAATTGTTAGGATAGAAATAAGTTCACCATGCATAAATATCACAAGTGATAAAAACGTTAACTAAATACTCCCACAATGACGTTTGATAACTACGCTACGTCATCGTCTGTAATAACTGAATATAAGCGTTATTTTAAAAAAAGAAAAGAAAAAAGAGAAATATGAAAACGCATAACGAAATAGGTGTGACTTATAATCTGATGGTAGTAGTAGACTGTGAGTGATGATACAAATCTATAACAGCCCTAACGAAAACTACTCTTAAGCGCCAATCGCAACGTCAACCACAACCACTAGCACACAAAAACAAGAGCAGATAGACACTGTGGACAAAAAGTCTTAACTACCCCCCCCCCTCAAAATAACACTGACGACAGTTGAATAGGGATGATGTTTTTTGTATTCGTTTTAAATCACCTTGACAACACCAAATTCACTGATAAACTTCAAAACATGGCAACTAGTGATAGTCCAGTTTTTACAAAGGGTGGGGCAAATAGAACGAGCGCTACAAATGCGCGACAATCTCAAAATTATAGTTAGTTTAAGGTTATGGGTTATTCAACAAAAAAAGCTGAGGTATAACCCTCCAAAAAAGTTTAACATGTGACTACATACCAAGCAAATTATGTTTAGACAGTATGGAGACACAACTTACCCGAACGTTTACGTTTATCCTCTTTCATTAGGACTTCAACCTTCTTAAATCCAAAAGGAAACTCACTAGAATAAGAAAAAGTGGGGAGATAAAGAGAAATAATAATGAGAGATAAAAAGGGAATTATCATGATTTTTAGGGTGTGGGGGGGTAATCAGAAGAGTAGAAGCTTTATGCTCTTCAACAGTTTACATCACAGAAAAATTGTCATCACGTGAAAAGGATAGATTAAGTGAGAACAAAAGAAAAACTGATCCATATGAGTAGGAATCGAGATCCGAAGAAACTTCGGATCAGTCGACCTAAGTGATATATATTGTAGATGAGTAGGCATTTTCTTCCAATGGATAGAATGAGTCTAGACCCATTAGCTTAGAAAACAGATCGAATGAATAATACCAGTAACCTAAAATAACTAAACAAAAGATAATGAGTTCAGAGCACTCAAACATTGTGAATAACAGTGTGAAATTGAGCACTAAACATGATAAACTAAACCCATTCACAATGAAATACCAAAGTTAGTAGAATACAGAGAGAGAGGGAACAACTTTCACCCTTATACTGAGGTATGAATTACTCTCACTCATCAACTCAAAGTTCCTTTGATGAATGGGATACAATTGTAAAGACTTTGTTAGCATTGATAGTTTCCACTCCAGGACAATTTTTTTTATTTCTGAGTGTGGAACATTTATGATAGAATAGTCTATTCAAAGGATTATATATGCATGGAAACTGTGCTAACACTAAAATATTTACATTCCCAGACTAGATTAAGAAATCTTTACTATTAAGCCAAAGAATTTCAAACATGAGAACAGAAAAACAGTAACTAAATAAGCATGTGGTAGGGGCTATCGATGAGCATTTGTAAGTAATATATTGTCGCATCAACAAGAATGGTGGTAAACAGCAGAGCGTAGGATTAATTTAAGAAGACAAGATCCTTGTGAAACGATATATAGAAAGCATAAAATGAAGACAAAAAAAATGCAGAATACGAATCACTTTCGCAGAATAAAATTTCAGTGAAAGATTTTCTGCATTTTGTCAGATAGACAATGTTCTGTTATCAAATACCACTGTGTTCTACCGTTAAAATTCACCCATGGAGCTGGTGCTTGTTAGACATTTGAAAGAAACTGGAATGAAGCTCCAGACCTATACTTCGTGCTTATATTGTCACTTGTCAGCAAGATATATCTGCAACTTCCTCCGGTGAATCGAACCAGCACCATCCAGAACAATAGTCCGAGACGTTGCCACTGAACTCTACTCAGATCTGCATCACAACAAGACGATATTAGTTCCTTCGACATTGTAAATAAGCTTTGTTGACAAGTGACATTAACCGCAAAGCATCGGCGAATTTCTCCCTATCAATAGCCAGCAACAATTTGGCATCTGTTCAAGGCATACCACAATGATTAGTCGCTTAGCTTTGTAATCAATGAAGTAAATTTTGCGTTTTGACAGTAGTTTTCATGCAGCATTATTCTACACTTACGACCTGGATAGACAATAAACACTAAAGTGAAATGGCACCACAGAGAGCAGATGATATAGGTGATCGACAGACTAAGGGTGATCAGGTAGGAAGATTACGAAAACTCCAAATAATCTCTGATCATAGATTTAAAAACGCTACAGTCTACAACCATTTGCATTTTGTCGACTTTATAATACCAACAGTCTGCAGTTTCTATGTGACTCAAACAGATAGTCAATATGCATTTACATCGGTTCCCAGTGTTTTTTTCTTGACCATACTTATATTGATAATAAAAGCCAAAAGAATAATAAAATTCACTAATCAACTTACTCCAAGAAGACAGAAACAACTGATGAACCGGAATAAGCACGTGCAATTTCTAAACCATCTAAATTAACAGAATAAACTGATTCATCTCGACGTGATTTAGACGATGAGGATGATGAAGATGAAGTTAATCTGGCATTATTGAACTAACGGAATGAAAAGAAAACAAAATGAAAAAAAAATAGTTAAAATAGTTAAATGATTTTAATTTGTGGATGGTGACTAGCAGTGGAATCCAGGATAACGCGCATTACGTCCTATTTGGGACTCGTCACTGGATGTACCTGCATTTCCCAGTGAGTGATGATGTTCCCACCAATGCTCGAAGCATCTGCACAAGAAGCCGACATGTCAACCTTAGACCGAGCACTTCGGTCCTATCAATCGACGGGAAAATCTCAAATTCACTTAGTTGAATGATTCCAAAGCAGTCTGTAAGATAAATCGAAATAAATCCGCTTTTTTTTTAGTAAACAAAATAATATTGCTGACTGACTATGGCAATACTTTATTGAACACAAGATTACAGGTTACAGTCTCAGTAGAAAGACCAATCGCTCACTGTGTATACAAATACTTTAGCTGACGAGTCCAAAGTACGACGAAATGTGTATTCTAGATTCCACTACAAGCCCCACCAATAACCATATAAGATATGAATAATCATTATATAGCAGGGAAAATCCAACACTAATTTTGATGAATAAATGGTACTTAAGTCGTATCATGAATATGTTCAACATTCCCAAAGAGTATCTTTACTTTCTGACCTCACTACATAAAATCATGTATAAGCTTTGTTGAAAAACCAAATGAAATATGCTTCAATTTGAACATTCAGTAAGACGCAACCATATAATAAGTGTGGCATTTTACCATCTTCAACTGTCTTATTACCACTAAACAGTCAAATGTAGAAAACGTTTTAGAGATAGCTAAAGAATAGTAATGATGAACTTGCGATGCACAGGATACAATCATCGAAACTTTTGACAGTGGAGACAAAAACAATTAAGTATGTAATACCACTGCTTGCCACCACAGAATACCTTAATAACCCAAACGAAGGAGGTGAAGTGATTGAAAACACGTCTGATTGGCTCAAGGCATTAAGCAAGCAGCAGTCAGTCAATGGGTTCAAGGTAAAAAATCTCCCTCCATCTACGTCAGTCAAGCCAACTGGGTAGTGTCGCCAGCTCTTAAACAGCATAATTGTGGCTCATGGTTTTAAACATGAAAAATCTATTTCGATCAAATAAAATAGTGGTTGTTGTCTAATGAAACTGACTGAAAGATGTGGATTCAGAAAATAACCTTTACTTTGGATCTTCTTCGGGAGTGTATCCCTGATGGATAACACTACTGATTAACTGAATAGCGTTTCTTCTTTGAAACCACCTTACACACTGAGTTGTATATTAATTTGTATCTTTATATATGCATCCTTTACTAGCATTCTGAAAACCTTCTATATAAAACGTCTCAAGTAGAGTGAAAGGTTGAAGTGATATACATTTGTCAATACACTAATAAATAGACGACATTAATTAGATGCTGCTGAGTATTTTTGTGATACACATCCAAAAGTTTTGTATAATACTGTCTTATAGTATACGAAAAACCCATTTAGACAGCTGGCAGTAAGTATTCAAAGCTAAATAATCACTTGAAATTATTTTATAAGACTGTAAAATACCAATACCTGGAGGTAATCGACAGGAAGCCCAGTTTGACCTAGGTTTCGTTCTTTTTGGCACTCACCAGTCACCAAGACGTACCTGCGACCTTGGAGGAACTCATGTTCCTTCTGAGATTCTAACCCATGTCACCCAGTGCTGCAGTCAGAGATGTTACCGCTGAGCGATCCGGGAGTACTGGACAGCTGTTTCGTCCTAGTTTGGGGTAATTCTTCAGTACGCACCCACTGGGGTTCGAACCCAGGACCTTCTGGTTACAAGGCGAGCCACTAGGACCCAATCACACAGTGATACACCCATTGACTGGGTATTGGTTTTCAAGAGAACCAAACACACACATCCCTACCTCTTGCGAGACGAGACTGGCATGCAGGATCATCCTGTGGCGCAACCACTCGAGAGCCCTCTCCCTCGGTGAACCATCACTAATGTGTTAGTATTGTCATTCCCTTGGGTTACTGGTGGAACAAAAGACTTCGGCCGTACATCATCATTTCATTTTTATTCACTACAATTCTTTTTAGCTGGCTGTTCTTTTTTTCTACTTCATTTTTCTTTCCTTTTAATAAGACTCCCCCTAGGATACTCTTCAGAAGCCCGACTCGTTGTTGCCCATTCGGGTTCCACTCAAGAGCATCCTTTTAGTCTTTCCAGAATGATTCACTTCATACTTCACTTATTCCTTTAAGATTCCAGTGGAACTCAGGGCTTCAAGCTAGAGGGTTGAAGTTTCGGCAGCAGTAGAGTTTATTTTTACAGGATGGGGTTGTTAGCCTCATGCCCAACCTTTCCTCTTTACCAGTTTTATTACTGGTTTAGCGAGGTAAAGGAGTACGTCGACCGGGGACCGAACCCCGGACCACATGAGGCGTGGTCGGCGAGCATTCTACCCGCTGTACCAGCGACGCGGCTTATTATTTTGCCTGGATATGAGAAGAGTATGATTCCGCGCCAGTTGTTGCATAGGCTTAAGTCACTGCTCTTTGGGAGTTTGACAATTGGCAGGTATCCTTCCTTCCTCCAAAAATCTTCTGTAACAGTGGCGTGATGACTTAGTGAATGAGTAACGGTGACAGTGTTCAATATGTGTAAGACTCTCTTTACATTCATACATTCGTGACAGTGTATAGAACATCAATGAAGACATCTTTTTGATTATAACCTTTGAGTAATGATACACCTGTGTATACCTGGCAGCAATAACAAGAATATGACATCTCGAATCCAACACCTAGATTAGTAATCCGTTTCGCCTCTACGCAGTAGTGGTTTGCTTCAATTGGTTTATTCATCTGACCTGAAAACCATTAGGCCCAAAAAATTAAACTTCGTCAAACATACTTCTCTCTTGCCAACTGAGTAGTATCATACACTGTCACAGAAGAATATGATCCGAAGTAAAGCGCACATTATCCTGCATCAGATGAATAAACTGCCTTACCTAATTATAGAATACCTATATAAAATAATGAATAAATAGATTCCGACCGAATGCCTGATTGATTTTCAGCGCGCAGAACTTGGCGCAAAAGTAAGGCAGTTCAAGTTGTCACATACAATGTAGCACACGAAGGTAAAGAAAAAAGAAATCCAATAAAACTACACATAAAACCTGTGCACATTTCTTTTGTCAGTTTATGCATATACAAGACTTGTAAGACAATAAAGCAACAGAAACCTACCTTAATTTCCAAACTTCGATAACACCTTAAGTGTGTTTGTCTTAATGAGACATTATCTTCTGTGGCTGAATCAGCCTTTGTATTACGACAGTGTCGTTTTAAACTTGTAATCCAACGTTGATAAACTGTCTCTAAAGTCGCTGGAGGTAGATTACAGGTTGCATGACAGCTGGTGTCGTGTGAAATCGTAGCAGAAGTTGTCGGGATCGATGTTGACGACGATGGCGATCTACTGCTACTAGGATTATTATTGTTATTGTTGTTGTTATTACTATTATTACTACTTACAGAAATCAAGTTTGAGCGAGCAGCCCAGTCACATGAATGCCGACAACAACCTTAGGATAAGAAATAAATTAAAAAAATTAAGGGTTTTATAGAAATAAATTAATATGACATGACAACTTTTCAGCTCAGCTTCTTGGAAAACTGTTGACAATAGATGAACCAAATATACACCTAAAAAAACACATTTGTGGTGGATACATCGATCACGAGTCTAATTTAACTCACCCAAAGAAACATAAAAGATGAAAGTAAACAAAGTGGGAAAGTTACAAATATTGATTACCAGTTATGTTATGTCACATTTAAAACAATAATAATAAGCCTCATTTTAACCAAACCATATGGAGTTCAGTCAGCTCAGTTCAGTTTTTTTCCTTCAGTACGACAACCGATATTCATAAATAGTGAAATAAAAAGATCTGAAGACCATCATCAGGCTTCTGTAAACAGGGTTTTCATCTAGGGGAGTTTCAAAACTCTGATTCAACATCAATTGTGTACATGGATTCAAAGATTCGGAATGTCTATACGGAAAATGGCTGAACAACAGTATAGACGCTTATTCAACGGATAGCTGACCACTATTCAAATGTTAGGCGCGCTTTATGGATCAGTAATAATATTAATTTCACAACTAGTTCATCAGCAACAGTAGTAAATTCCAAATATACAGAGTGAACGCCGAAATCGATAGCTTTATTTCCTACTTTACAATAGGATCCGCTAGAGTGGGACAGCTGTGTACTCTTCTCATCGGAAATGGTAGGTGGGCAAATCTAGTGCACCTTTTGAATAGTTAAATCACTTCTACAGGTGTTCTCCCAATGTTTCGGTTGTGTCTCCTGAAAAATCACCATAGATCTTAAGGTTTATTTCAGAAACCATAAACTTTATTATAGTGTCCGAGTCTTTCATAAGCATAAACTGTTGACAACAGTTACTTCATAGAGAAGTCCTTTGCAAGATAGTTATAAGGACTTTCAATTAGCCTATGTTTACGTAGCTCCCTCTTTTTGGAATCAGTCTCTTTGCAGCAATAGAGTACGAAAAACCAAATGGTTACCAGTATCCATGGTTGCTTTATAAAATTCGATGAAATTGCCTGATTGCTGAAATCCATGCTAGGCAGAGTGGATTTCAAACCGTAAGTGAAACTGTAAAGTCGACGCTCCACTATTATTTTTGATCAGATATTTTATTCTAATTATACATAAATAATGCGCACAAATATGTTTGATCAATTATTTAAAACAAATCCTAACAAATGTATCAACACTTAGATAGCTTAACTGACTTTATTTCAACCACTAAAGAGTACTATTCAAGTATTGGTTTGTAGGGATTTGGTTGATTGGTTACAGGATTTCATCATGAGCTGACATTGGTTAGAGAAGCATTGGAAAATCTGGGAGTACTGGACAGCTGTTTCGTCCCAGTTTGGGACTCTTCATCAGTAAGCACCCACCGCCATAGTTCGAACCCAGGACCTTCTGGTTACAAGGCGAGCTCGCATACCATTAAGCCACTAGGACACGAACCAATGTCAGCTCATGATGAAATCCTGTAACCAATCAACCAAATCCCTACAAACCAATACTTGAATATCAATGAGATGCTCACTGGCGACTTGCCCTATTCAGTTAGGTAGTTACCTGGAGTTCCAGTGGGAAGTCGTGACCAGTAGGGTACAGCAGGTCAAGTGTGAGGACAAATACCCGCCGAAGACATTGGCTAGAGGTTGCGCTATATCGTGAATTGGCAGAAGTTAGAATTCATGGGCCATTGGATCGGGTCCCAGTGGCTTAATGGTATGCGAGCTCGCCTTGTAACCAGAAGGTCCTGGGTTCGAACTATGGCGGTGGGTGCTTACTGATGAAGAGTCCCAAACTAGGACGAAACAGCTGTCCAGTACTCCCAGATTTTCCAATGGTTCTCTAACCAATGTCAGCTCATGATGAAATCCTGTAACCAAATGAGTACTACTCAACAAGAACTAATACGACTGCCTAGTGCTTATAAAATGCAGAAAAGAACTATTACTATTACCATTATTATTACAAGAGATCAGTTCCACGCGTCATGGTTAGTTATCGAAATCATCAACTTTGGAAAAAATTAATATTAATTAATATATTCACGCCAAAAGATTTAAAACTCGATAAGAGGCAATTTGTAGGCATATACGTATCAGTGAGTATGTGAAATAAGTTTCGTGGCCAAAATCTTGTCCAGAAAGGTAGATAACAACATTAGAAATAACAGGGACAACACAAAGTAGTATATTGTTATAATATAAGCAGAATAAACAATGTAAAAGTCGAGAAACATGCGGCAATAACAGTATCAAAACAAGTGGAATATTATTTGCAAATAACAGAGAAAAGGTAGGACAAATTAGTCAAGATCATAAACTGAACTTTCAATGTACACTCTGGCATAAAAATGCAACAGTTCAAGTTATCACACTTCACAAAACCACACGTAACGGCGGAAAAAAAAAGGCAAAGAAACTATAGAAACGGAAAATGTAACAGAGAACAATGAGGATTCCGTAGGCCTGATAGATCACACAGCATGAATGCGTCTGTGTATTTGAGCCACATCATCTACACAGTCTCCAACGATTGCTTTTTACGTGTCTCGAGGCTGTCTACACCACCTTATATGGTTGGCTCAAACCAACAGTTCAAGACATGATTGTATAGTGTGATATCATGTTTGGTCCAACCTAATCTTATATCAGACAATATCGCTCGTCAAGAAAGATGATGGCTTGGAATGCGTAACACATGTTCTAGCCATCTCGATCGATAGAACTTCATAACCTGATTAATTGATTTTCATTCCTCACCTAACCTGAACATTACTCACTACGATAAGGAATTGTGAAGGTAACTGTGCTAATGAAATCGATTACAAACTATATCATCGCCCGCATTCCTTAACTATCACTTTTAATTATTTCGTAGACCCTCATCCATGTAATTTATACTATTCTATAAGGTTCACAACAACACCGCACATTTTAGAGTAGATAATATTTTAATATGCATCACACATATCATAGCCAATTGACTGACTGACTGAACTTTGCATAGAGATGAAGCACTTCAAGTCACCACATTCCATGTAAAACACAAAGGTAAAGAAGAGGAAAAGATTCAAAAGAATTATAATGCGTAGAAAATATGCACAGAGAAATAAATCTAACATCGAGAAATATAAGGGGTCCAAGTGGATTTGGGAGATTGTAAAGACCTGATGCATCTACACACCACTGAGAACGATTTTGGGGCCACATCGTCAACAGTTTCCAGCCATTGGTCCCTAGCATCCCTGGAACCCCAAACAGATAGTCTACGTAACCCTAACCAGAAATCAAACACTTGATGGACTGATGCCAAGTTTTCGTTTGACCAGTCCTAATTCTTTTCCAACCTACCTACTAACCAACTGAATGAATGGATGTTTTAAAGATTGTCAACTGGAGTGATGCATTTACCGAAAACCTAAAATAAAACCGGCATATATTTTATGTAGTGATTACAATATGTAGAAGATAATACAGAGAGTATGGTGAAACGTTGGTAAAAGATATAGATAAAAAATAATTAGAGGGTCATACTAAACCGCGAAACAAATCTACAAAGTCTACGCCTATCTGTAAGGAAGTATAGGAGGTTACTGGCTTCGGCTTCACAAAAGTTAAGAATCAATGATTTGGTAACTCGTGATGACATCGAGTACACACATATTTTCATTCACACTTAGTTATCTTCAAAACCCACGTAATCTTCAGCAAAGTCTAACAAACATATTTGTTCATTGTACTTTTCCAATTGCGTACTGCCTTGACAAGTGCGACAACATTGTGTCATTCGCTGTCGCCACATATCCAATCTTATGCAACTCATGAATGTACACTAACATTACATTATTTAATTCTTGAATTTTCGTGCATGTTGGCAACACTTGATCGTGTCTCAACACCAACTTCACAGTCATCTATAGAGTACGCGGGAATCTTGCCAAAGGTTAATGAATCAAACTTTTGTAAACCGCAGAAGCTATGGCAATCCACACATTAAATCCTGAACTCTACATGCAAAAGAAATTTGTTCACTCACTGAACTTAAAATAGACCTAATTTGTCTACACATTTGACCGGCAATTTTTTCTCTTTACCAACAATAAATGAAATGAAGTGTAACTCAACAATTATTGGTATATCCGTAAACTTGGAAATCAGTCACACCTATTGTGTGAGGGTTGACGATACTGGTAGCAACACCAAATGTAACGGTAGAATAAAAGAGTATTTGGTAAGGCAATCATTCATTGGCAACTCAACGTAAAGATATGAGCAAAATACGTCTACTACATATTTGAGGCAGAGTTTGCACATGTCTTCTTCGGTATTGCGCTACTTTTTCTTTCTTTCATGTTTTCCAAGTTGTTTCCCCAAGCATGGTTTATGAAATGGATCTCTCCTTTATTCGATATTCTTTCAGATGTTTATATATACGCACTACTTATAAATCTTGTCGGCAGAATAGACCACAATACCACCTGGCTGCCCAACCTTGGTAGGCGAAGAGGTCTTAAACCCATGATCCACGAGGTGGCAATGAACCACAGCTCATTAAGACGCTGACCATGGCTTGGCCTTCTTCAGCTTTAGTTCGATTCTAATTAATCCTGTCAATTATGTTACATCAATCAATTTATTTACTTAATTTTGCCTTAATCTCGACCTGATTAATGATTTTTTGTAATACATAAGTTCCCATACAAACTTTTGACTGTTACCTAAAACTATCAAGCGTTGTTTGGTAGGGATTTGATCACGAAATTGTATCAGTTAGAGAAACAATGGCAACTAGGCAGTACTGGAAAGCACCTCCGTCCCAGTTGGGGACTCTTCTGCAGTAAGCACACTTGATCCCACCAGAGATCGAACCAAGGATCTACACAGGTTACGAGGAATCCGGTTGACCATTCAACCACTGGAACAGAATCCAATGACCCATGAATTCTAACTTAGGCATTAAGCGACATATAACCCAAATGCCACCCAATGTCATCGTCAAGTGTTTGTTTCTACAACCTACTTCGTGGACTCCAATGTTCACAGGTTCACATTAGAACTTCAGGCAACTGTATCCTGTAGTCGGTCACTAAGACTCGAGAATTTTAATCAAAACGTCTTTGGAAACTTTCCTTTTGTTTCTATGGCAATATATGTATACATATATGCGATGGTGCGGCTTGACAGTATAGCCGAACACCTTCTGTTCTTCCATTACAATTGTCTATCTGACAGTAGAGAACAATTATGTTTACATTTTCATGCGGCCAAATACCAAAATCCATCCATACTTAAGACGAAACACAGAAAAAATATAAACGTAAAATATGTAATAAGCTTAACATTTACCTGAACGTAATAGAAATGGATGAATATGTGGTGGTTCTTCAGGTCGACCAGCATATGATGTTGCATCTAGATCATATCCACTGAAGAAATTCAATCGACTAGATACTGTTGTTGACGGATTCATATAATTTGAGTTGAAATTACTGCTATTATTATTTCCAGGACATGGCGCTTCAACACAAAGAACAAAGTCTTCACGATCACCTGCTGATGCTCCATACAAAATTAAACCGAAACAAAAATCTTTCCTAAATATGAAAAAAAATGAAGCGAAGGAAAATAAATGATGGTGAAAAAGAAACAAGTAGTTTCCAAAAAAGAAAAGTATTAATATGCACTTTTCTTTGCAAAGAATGGTAGCCAATGGATAATACTTGCTTTAAAGCATTACTGAGATATAGGTGAGTAAGACAATGAAATTCTGAACACAGGAGTAAGGCAAGACTGTCTACTATCACCGATGATATTCCTAATTGTGGTGGACTGGATTATGCGGAAGCATGTGAGTAGGGAACAAGAAGACAAGAATACGTTGGACCAATAGGAATACTCTAGTAGATCTGGGTTTCGTGGACGATTTATGTCTAATGTCGGATAAATCTGAAGACTTACAGGTGAAAACCAACAAGTTGTAACAAGAAGCAGGACTTCAAGTAAACCTAGAGAACACAAAGGTGACGAAAATAACTGACAAACACCAATTACTATCAACAGAATAAATTTCAAAGAGGCCACTTCCTTCACTTATATATATAGGCAGCATCGTTTCAACTACATGCAACAGCACAGATGGGGATGTCAAAACCAAAATCGAAAAGACAAGGTACACCGTAATCACTCTGAAATTAGTTAGACAATTTTCTGAACTCAGCATGAAGAATTTGGTACGAATTTTCAGCACAAATGTTAAGCCAGTCAGTTCTTCTATATGGGTCAGAAGCTCGGTGCATCATGAAAGGTGTGTCCAACAAGTTGCAGACTTCTATCAACAGATACCTTCACTGGCTCCATATTGAAGATTAAATAGCCAGACGGAGAACACCAGTGACGAACCAATGAACAACTGATCGCTCACCAAATATGCAGAAAGAAATGAGAGTGGACTAGACATTATGCTGGGGAGAGGGGAACATCGCGTACCATGCCCCCGAGGGGAAAGACGACTCAGGAGTCCATGGTGACATGGAGATCATGTGAGTTGGAGATGAAGGCTTATGGGTAAGCATGGGAACAGATGAAGAGGACTGCAGAAAACAGGACAAATAGCGATGTGCCACTGAAGCCTTATGTTCCACTCAGAACCCAAAAGAATAATACACGATATCTACTTTTCATTTAATTATTCATTTCCTACATAAAATCTTCTTTTTACTGCACCGTCATTACGATTCTACACCATTTGCTAGTGTAACAACTTGAATCAGTGCATGTATGTGAATAGCACAACAGTGATTTATCAGTGATTCACTCGAATTAACCTAAAAAGCACAGCAATCACTGACGTCATGCTCCAAGAGCTTTCAATACGTTTGAATTGGCATCAAGAACTCCCTGAATGAAGTTCATGTAATTTCAGCTAGTTCTTGGATAACTTAATAATTTCAGTGCAGATTTCATCACAAGTCAACAACAGTTTGAGAAGCATTGAAAACCAGGGAGTACTGCATAGCTGTTTCGTCTTAGTTCGAAACTCTTTATCAGTACAGACCCACAATTCCACCCGGGATGGAACCCAGGACCTCCAGGGTAGAAGACCAGGCTTGTTCACTATTCAGCCGCCTCGGCTGACATGCTCACCTCGAAGATAAAATGCATAAAAAGTATCCACGCTATTCAATAACAAGGCACGTACAATTCTCCAAGGGTAACAAAAATATGCTACACGCATAAAAGTATTTTTTTTTCTATTCATGAATAGTTAATTCAACAATGAATTAGTTCTATTACCTAGCGACAAACCATAACACACAATAGTAATGATCCGTATTATATAATAAAGATTATGAGTAAATGTGTATGAGGAGTGATTAACAGTTGACCTCATTAAAAAAAACAACTCTTTCTACAAAATATGCAAATTTTAGCATTAACAAAAAAATATTGTAATGTTTACACACCAGCTTTAATCCAGTCAAGTTGGTCTGAACCACCTGAAAGTATAAACTAAGATTGTGTACAACTAAATAATACTTTAACAGATTTAATTTCATATTAGAATAAACCCGCCATACACTTAGAAGAAGAAATATGGCTCTTCAGCCTAACCTCTGCAAGTTTACCTAGTGAGTCCAGAATTCGAATCCCGCTAAGCTTACTTCATCGTGTGCGACCGGGTAATGTCATCAGCCCCCAAACAATAAGTGTAGCTTATATCCTGGGATATGGAAAATCTGCATCAGGTGAGTCAGTTCAAAATAAGTCAAAACAATACACTCAGAACAGACTCGAGTAATAAATTTGAATTAACAGGTATGTGATGCATTAACTTTTTGAACACACCAACTGACAAGAGGATCTTAACATTCCATACAGTCTACATCTCCTTACGCGGGTGTATCAAACGAACAGTCAAAGACTTCATGGATTGACTTCAGATTATGATTTGACCGCCTCTAACTCTTTTACAACACAAACCTATGTCAACTAACATCACTCATTGTGGAAGGCAATGGACTCAGTATACATAATGCGTCCTGGCCACCTCAATCTATGTGACTACACAACCTCACTGACTAATTTATCTACTTTATCTAACACTCTACGCCTATCCTGAATATTACTCACCATATTATATCACTTAAAATGGGAGATAGAAAGCAACCATCTGTGGTCTAGAACCACAGGCGGCCCGTTAAGTTTGAGACAACTTAAATAAGTGGAGGAGTCAATGTATTACATCATTCGCTGCACTCCTCTGTCCTTAAAAATAAGTAAGAGTTAATGCAGGCCAGTCAGTCTTGTAATGTTATCTTACAAGTAACAGAAAAAGAGTGAACACCAAACATACTACTCACAGTTGCCCGCTTCATCTACTTTAGTCTGAACAACTGGGTGGTATTATCAGCCTTCACATAACTAGTGTGGCCCATAGCCCGCCCACCGGGTAATCAATCGAGTTCTAACTAACCAATTTATAACTAAATCAGAATAAAACTTCGTCATCAAAGATAAACTTGTTGCATATAATAAAGTATTATTGGTCCAAAGTGCGTGTGTGGTGACTCAGATTTCCATTTCAATTACTAATTAACTAATTTAAATCACTTACTCATACGCAGTATAGTGAATTGGAAAGAAATCACACTTGGAGAGATCAAATCTTTCAGGTTTGCGTTTTTCACCATCAACCAGCGTTAAGATACTTTGCTTTCTATCCAACTGGGCATAATATGACTTCCATTTTTTCCTTTGTTGTGACCCTTAGGGAAGAGAACATAATAAAATTGTTAACCACATATAAGTGAAAGGATATTTAATACACATACATCTATCTACCCATGTGTTCATTTTTATTTGCGTTGCTCAATAGCTATAGGCATTTTCATGTATTTCGCAATAAGTCACAACTGTTGTGTGAAGATTAGTGATATTACCTGGCTGCCTATACGTTGGTAGGTAGTAGAACAGATTTGGATTCCGTGATTCAGTTGTAGTCTAGTAAACCACACAACCTCACTGCATTCATTTCGCTGTACACATTAAACTGAGGAGGGGCATTGTGCGTCAGTGATTCAGTAGTCGAACACTGGTCAACCACGCGAGTGGTCTGAGGTTCAATTCCCAGCCAATGCACTCCTAAAACATCGCTTAGCCGATAGTAAGCCAGGTAAAGAGGAAGGTTGGGTGTGAGGGTTAGCAACCCTACCTCGTATAAACAACAGTGATACTGGAAATTCAGAGGTCTAACTTGAGGCCCCATGTTCCATTGAGAACGCAGAGGAATAGAAAAGGATGCCTACCAGTCCTGTGTTTTTAACGATTATTTAGCTGGTGACAGTTAGTGCTGAAGAAAACAACAACACTGATGGATTATACTTGACAGTAACTAATGTCATGTGTCTTGTCCTGAATGGTGACTAGGTTAACCAGATAGAAAACCAATGATCGAGGTGTACTTTAATAAATTTATGTTAAGCAGTACACAATCCTGTCCTGAAGCCAACTAACTAGCTGGCTGATTTCAACATAGAACTTTGCACAGATGTGTGCCACTTCGAGTTGCCACACTCCCTCCACATGTAGCATACAAAGAAAGAAAAGAGAGAGAAATTCAAAACAGATATATGAGGAAAGAAGAATAGTAGTATGGAAGAACAATAGAATTTTATTGGATATTATAAATCACAAAGAGTGAATGTACTTGCGCCAGCGCCATCGAGAGTGACTTTGAGCCATATCGCCGATTGTCTTCAACCGTTGGTTTTTACCATCCGAGAACCCCAACCAGGAAGCCTACACCTCCCCACATGGCTTACGCTAACTCTTATGGCTTTCACTGACTGATGCCATGTTTCGGTTTGATCACCACTAGCTGTTTTCCAACCTAATCCTGTCAGGTAACATCACCCGTCGAGGAAGACGATGCCTAGGCATGCGTAGCCAACTGCTTCTATGCCCTCATCAACAAGGTGTTACTGTAGCACAGAGTTCATGAGACTGAAGTATAACCAGGGATTCAAACTTACAAGTAGATAGAGATAGAGAAACTATGCACTTTTTCAAGGGCATTATTTTTTTGCTCCATCAAAAGAAACAGCCAACAGTTTAAACTGTAATTAATTCACTTCATAAATGAGTAAGTTACAAAATTACCAATAGATATCAATCAGTAACTTACACGCATACCTATTTTTCCATACTTTAAAGGGACTTAACAGAAATGAAGACTTCACTGTGCTTTCATGCTCCGAAATTTTAATTAACATAAGAAATGTAGAAAACAGAGGGAAGTTAAACTATAACACACAGCGACCTACAAGAATGACTTTGAACAACCAATCAGAATAAATGACTGCTAAATTTCATTAATCCGCTAAGATTAGAAGATAAAGAGAGATTAATGTTACAGTAGTTAGGTCATATTTAGGTTTCAATGATCTATATAACTTAAAAACAGATTTATGTATTATATTATTCATTTATATTCTAATTGGTTGTTTTTCAAAGTCATTTTACATTGGTGACCGCCATAGTTCTACTCCATCCTTTAATTTAGCAGGGTGCAGACAGAAACTGTTTATAACAGAAGAGCTTTGTTTATCTAATTGAGGGGAAACATGTCAAAGAGGAATTATCGAACATCAGTCCAAGGTAGGTGTCCGATAAATCCCACTACTAAAACTTTGAAGAAGTGATTAGAACCATACAAAGCTGTGAAGTTACATGAGATATGAGTATGAACAAGAAATTTTATTTCACTATATGACATATCCAATAAATAAACGAATATGGAATACTTGGATGTTCAGGTCTCGGTAGATGGTGCAGGATTTGAACCCTTAATCAACGAGACGGAGTGGGTAGTTGAGTGCCTAGAAACCACAGTTCTACAACTCAACACTTACAATCATAAAATGAGCAAGCAACTTCTAAAATTATAAATGCTTTCATAATACTTCAAAACTATTATCACTTTTTTCAATCTTCGCGACCCCCAATGACCCACCCACCAACATCGTAGTATCTGACAACACACACACAAATACCACATTATTCAATACATAAATTCAAACATTTTTGAATACAGAGTGAAAGTAAGGGACACAATACGAATACACTTCAAAAAAGAGGCTTATGAAAACAGTGATCACTTACAGACAGATAATTCCCCATGGATTTCAGTCAGTGTTTGATGAGAAGCTGGAGGTTGACGTGCATAAAACATATCCATATAGATTGTAGACGATGGAGGATGTATTTGAGGCTTGAAAATAAAGGAAAAAAGCAAAAGAAATCATTAAGATAAGGTCATATAATTATGACAGTATGGATGAGAATCGTATATCAATCCAACTTATTACACTTCATAAGAAAGACAGGAGGAATAATAAGTAAGCTGAAACCTGGTGACACTAAATTTAACATGCGAAGAAAAAACAAGAATAGACGATAGTAAAACTGTTTAAATCGTGAACACGATAGAAAAAAGTAGATGATATATCTATACTGATTTCGAATAATTATCATTCCGAGTCCACCGCCATCTAATAAGTATGCTGGAGCACTTTTCAACAACGCCCAAGCCAATAGTTGGCGATTAATGAATTAAAAGTGAATCGGTAGTTTAGTGGTAGGACACTGGCTAACCAACCAAGTGGTCCAGGGTTCGACCCCCGACAGAGGGACTCCCCAACCTCGCTTATTATTATTGTTTGCTTTAATTCCTAGAGGAACATAGGGCTTCAGCCGTGCGTCTCTATTGCGTTCGGTTCTCTGTTAGAGTCTTCACCTGGCTCCAAGTCTGCCCACACGTTTTCACCTCCTCTTCACATGATCTCCTCTCCAAGGTCAACCTCGCTTAGCCAGTAGTAATCCCGGTAGAGAGGGATGGTTGGGCGTGTGGCTAGAAACCCCAAACCGCAAAAACAACAGTGATATCGAAACTTCAAAGCTAAAAGCTTTAAGCCATGTGTTCCTCTGGGAACGTAAAGGAATAAAATCAAATTAGAATGATGGATTAAACATACGATGTGGTCCGACCAGGCATAGTTGTTTTTAGCAAAACAACTATCAAATCAACAAAAGATAAGTGCTATATGTACTCCATCCACCTAAATCACTGAATATTCACGATTATATCCATTAACCCAGCATTAAGTGTTTAACCACAACAGTATATGGTCTGTGGTTGAATTATTTTACGATACAACACATACAAACATCAAATTAACTCATAGACGATACGGTGTTAATATGATTGATCCATGTAATGGAATAGAGTAAATCCGTCAGACCGAAAATTCCAATGAAATAAATGACATTGTAATAAGGCTAAATAAACTAATGAATAATGCCAGTTAAACAGCCTGGGAAAAACTGTACGTGAAACCACAATAATTCAGCTTTAATGATCTCTTTTGCATGAATAAATAGCCAATTAATACACATTAACAACCAAGGATAACGAATACTTTGTACACACCTATCACAGTGTTTGTTATATCCTCAAATATCAAGGATCATCTAAGAGGTGAGCCAATGTGAATCCCAAACACACTAGAGATTATTACCTAAAAAAACTTGATATTTCTTTGCAAGAAAAGGCAAAGATGGCTTTTGTTCCATAAGAAAACACTTCGAGTTTCTCAAGTTATTAAGAAATCCCAGAAAGAGTTAACTAGAGTGAGTATCATCGAGCTTTATAATCAGATGATCGTCATAACAAGAGAGATAGGAAAATTGCGAAGCTATTACTGTCCTTCTGGACAACATTTTCAGAGCTAACTTCAATGTGAAGTGAGCCTTGGGAATGCTCCTTTATGGATGATAAATCCGTACTTTATGATAAACTTTAGTGAGATTTCTTTACGACTGCATTCACTTGTACTGATATTGATCCTTTGTTGACCCAATGTCTGACCTTTTCGTAGTGGTTAACAGATATGTTGACACACATCAATCAGTAAAAAAATCAGTCGAACAATGAAGGGATTCAAGGTTAAAAGAACGAGAGGATCAGCATCAAGTTAAAGAGGTTACAAACAAACCTTTGCTGGAGGGTGGGGCAACCAACACAGCCAAGGTCAGTGAGAGAGGCATGGAGAATTTCCAAATCTCACTTCAAATAGACGTTTGCAATGGAGATGTCTAGAAGGACAGTGAAGCTTAATGACTAAACCACCAACCTCAGGGAACTCAACACCGAAAAACTTCGACTGAGTTAGATACTTCCTCCAACCTCACCTAGTTTATTAGGTCGCTAGTCTTCTAGACGGTCCCAAACTCCAGAAAAGAGGGAGGGTTAGGTGTGGGGCTAGCGACCCTACCTCGGAAAATCAATCCGACCTCTACAGAAACTTCAAGGCAAAAGAAGCGGCAAGAGAAGACAGAACTACAGGTGATGATTGAGAAGACGGGGGTGATGAAGATAACCAACCAACAGCAACAGCTACAAAGAACAGCACCAATCACTATCAACAGAATAAGTTTCAAAGAGTTCACTTCCATCACTTATCTAGGCACCACCGTCTCAACCACGGGTGCCACGGATGAAGATGTCAAAGCCAGCTAGAATCGGAAAGGCAAGACAAACCTTCATCCACCTGAAATCAGTTTGGAAATATTCTCCACTCAGCATAAACAACCAGATTCGAATTCCCAATACTAATATCAAGTCAGTCAGTTCTTCTATATGAGTCAGGAACTCGACCCGAGAGTCACGAAAACATTTATAACAGCCTACTGCAAACTCTTATCAACAGCTGCCTCAGTTGGCTCCATATGATGAAGATCAGATGGCCGGCCACAAACAATTAGTAACAAGACACCTGGCAACGAACCAACCAACAAGCTATCAATCAACAAATATCCCAAAGAAAGTAGAGGTGGATCGGACACACTAAGGAGACCGTTGGGTGACATCGCACATTAGACCCTCGAGTGAAACCCGAATGGAAAACGAAGAGTTGGGTTTGGGTCCAAAAGTGGCATGGAGGTGATCGTGTGAGGGAGAGATGAGAGATTATGAACAGTCGTGGACCCAGGTAAAGATATTTCCTCCATTATCTCAAAAGATACAAATAAAGTTGTTGAATTAATAATAAAAAGTATGCATAAACTTGAGAATAAAAAACTAAGTTCAGCTGTTTTTTTAAGTTCTTGTTTGCAGGGATTTGACTGATTTTAACATTATTCGCCAACTGACTTCAAGAAGAGAAGCACTGTCCAGGAAGTACTGGACATCTGTTTCGTCCTTGCCTGTTACCATTCAGCAGTACTCATCCATGACTTCACCAGGGATCGAACCCAGAACCCTCAGGTTACAAGACAAGCCTCCTCCACTGGGACGTAATCCAACAGCCTATCAGTTCTTGCTGATGACATTAGCTGGCCAGCATATTTTATATTGCAAACTGATGGACCAATGAATTCCGTCTCAGTGACTGAATAGTCAAGGAGCTCGTCTTTCGATTCCTGGTGAGGTCGTAGTTGCGTGCAGATGAAACAGCTGTCCAGTACTCCCCGGTTTTCGTTGGTTCGGGATCAATCTGGGGAAAAAAGGTTGTTACTACGTATAAAAGCACATCATAACGCATCATTAAAAAATACGTACTTTACGCTCTCTATTGACAGGTTTAAAAACAGGCAAGTTAGTGTGTATATTTGAGCCATCCGTTGAATGGAATTCATTCGACTGTACATGATGATTTCCTGACACTGTGCCATTCGTCGAATGGTTACCAGAATCAGTATCCATTAAACAATCTCCTGTATCAGCTACATTTAGAGTACTTGATTCTTCAGTATGACAAAGTTCGGAATGATGTGATTCAATCGCTGCGACTACAGCTTCTACGCTAGGAAAAGTTGTTCCACTGTACATAATTTTAGTTGTTGTTCGATAGAGAGGAAACTGAAAATTTACACTGAGTGTTGAAGTATCATTTGTTGAAGAATCTTGATTGTCCAATCTATTACACCCTGAAAATGTTTCATCTGATCGTCTCCTCTGCACATCTGATTTATTATCTCCGCTATTATCAATTGCAGATGATTCTTCACCAGTATCTTCTATGTGTACATCTGAAGGTCCACTGTTTCTACGATCAGAATTTGTATTTTGATTATTTTTATCTGTTGTTGGTGTTACATTGTCTCGACAGATTAATTCTGATTGAACAACCAATTCAAGTCGACATTTACGTACTCTTATACCATCGTACAATAGTAATGTATATAAGCCTGGACGTGAATCACACGGTCTTAACAAGTAACTAAATGCACCAGCTGAAAAAAAAATTTTTTATTTCGAAAATAAAGAAAAACAAAAAGTTAGTAAAATAAAATCAATACAACTGCAATAAAACTAAAATTAAAGACAAATATGTATGCATAAGAAATGAATATCAGAAATAATGGAAATACAGTCTGTTGTCAGTGGTTCAATGGTAAAATGCCCACCAGCCATGCAGGAGGTCGTGGTTCGATTTTCCAGCCGACGAGTTCCTAAACCTCTACTAGTTCACTTACCCGTAGTAAGCCAGGAAAAGAGGGAGGGTTGGATGGGAATCTAGCAATTTTACCCAGTAAGAAACAATAGAACAGCCACAGAAATTTTAAAAGTTTGAAACTCTATGTTCCAGTCAACACGCAAAGGATGAAAAAAAAGTTGGGGACGCAAAACTTCTTGATACATAATTTAAAAATACAATAAACGCTACAATCGCCAGCCTTTTAAAGTCAAATCTTAGCCTGAGACTGCTTAACTAACAAATTAAAGATTTTGACACAACATGATGCTAAATCATGTCATTGAGAACCTTCTCTTAACTGCTGAGCAACCTCGTCGAGATGGCTAATATGTAACCACTAAAGTAAAGCACTTAATATCTAATTAAACATTCTTCAATTTAAGGCCACACCTAGCCCAACTTTCTTAAAACTTGAGTCTTTCGTAGCCAATATTATGGCTCAATATAAAAGATGATTCATCAGGACTTGTTGTATAACCCAATGGAGTGACTCAACACTGCTAAAGTCTGAAATTTGGGTCTAAACTGTATGAATAATAAATACTGTTGTTTTACGACACATTACACATATAGATACTTACATCCAAAGCATATAATATGGCTTTAACGTCTTCAACTTCAAAATGTTATTATAATTATCAAGAAGAATTTTAGATAGAAACAGAATAAGAAGTATATCGGACATTTTGAAACGGGATACTCCGTGTTTAAACTAATAACAATTATATACAGCTCTGAATACTAAACTATGGGTTATAAAGCTGTCTCAAAGACTGAGAAATCATCCAACAGAAAAACCGAAAATGCTGAATGACAGTTCCCACATTGACAATAAATTAGCAGCCACTAGTTCGACACTTGCCAAATTAAATCATCTCTGGCGTACGTGTGGTATCTGGCTGCCCAATAAAGGACATGTGCATTGAGCGGTAGTTCACTCTGATCATTTTCATGGCTGTGAGGTGTCACCATTGAAAGTGGAAGACATGAAAAGGCTAGCTTTCCTTGACCACAGATGTTCAACATTAAGTGGTATAACATAGTGAGCAATATTCAGATTAGGCATACAGTATTAGATAAGCAAAGGAAACAGAGGTTGTGAAACTACACCGATTGAAATGACTGGGGAACGCGTTATACACACCGAGCCACCGCCTTCCTCGAAGAGCGGTGAGCTGTTAGACGACATACAATTGGGTTAGAGAATTGTGGGGCGATTAAAACAAAATCCAAGATCCATTCATGAAGTCTTTGACAGTTGGTTTGGGTCATGTAAGGAGATGCAGACTGCCTGGTTGGTGTCCTCAGGATTCTGAGAACCGATAGCTGTAGACTATTTGGTGATATGGTTCTAAATAGTTTTCGCAGCAATAGATGCATTCACTCTTTGTAACCTCCAGTATCCACTAAAGTCATTTTTTTATTTCTGTGTCACTATTCATTATCCCGTACATTTCTGTTCATCATCGTTCTTTTGAATTGTTTCTCTCTTTTTCTCTACCTTCATGGAGTGCGGCAAGTTGAACTGCTACACTTCTGTGCAAAGTTCAGCGTTGAAACTCAATCACAGTTGTTAGTCATTCGACATCCAGTCTGATGATGTACATAGTGTATGTCGTATATGTACATATTATTAATCTTTTTGATAAAAAAACAATTACAACACAAGACACGCATACATTTACACTGTCATCAGTTATGTAAATACGCAGTAAAACAAAATTTACAAGAGAATAACAACAGACGGGTGGATGGCGAAAATTCCTCACTGTTGCGTGTGTGTGTGTGTGTGCATATGGCCCATCGACGCAATAAACACACACACACACACGTACATATGGTGTGTTTAACTCCTAGAGGCACAAATTTTCATATGCTTAGTTATCAAAGGATATGAGACAGTGTCTATCATCTGTATAGTTGCCTATGTGTGAGTGTGTGTTTGATTTTATTGAATTCAAAAAGCAGGTATCATTGAAAAGGGACAATTAGCATCACTGTTGTCCAGAATTATTTAATTTTTCCATAGTTGCTGTAATTGCTTCCTCTTTGTCCTACCATGATTATTTTTCTTACTTTATACATAATTACATACATATACATTCAAAAACAAATTATTAAACGCCATTCATATGTTGTGTACATCATATCTTCCGTATGTGATAGTCAATTTTCGTTGAGCCTTTATTCTACAGAAATATCTTTTTCCTATATACATATATGTACTGTAGAAACATGGAAATGAAAATTTAAATATGAGTGGAATAAAAGCGATTTCTATTATTAATTCTACTACTATTCATCCTTTGAGTCCCGAGTGGAACATTCCCACTTTACTCAGTTCTCTACGCTCACTGTTAGTTGGCTAAACGACTGCTCCTCATATGATCTCCTCCACGTCATCTTCGAATGTACGCCCAATTCGTCGCTTCCTATTCGGGTTCCACTCGAGGGCGTGGTGATTGATGTCAATCAAGTCTCCTCAATGTATATCTCCTATCCATCCTCATTTTTGTCTGCATATTTGATGAGCAATAAGTTGTTGGCTGGTTTGCTCTCTGCCAAATTCTCTTCTTGCTAATCGTTTCCTGTCGTCCATCTGAGCTTCAGTGTCCAGCGAAGACATTTATTAAATGAAAATCTGCAGTCTATTAAAAATGCTTTCACGGGCGCGCGCTCCAAGTCTCTGAGCCATGTAGAAGCACTGAATCGACATCAATATTAAGCCCAATTCCGACTCTGTTCCATTTGCTGAGTACTGTGGATCTTCACAGTGGTTTCAGAGTAATGAACGCCTATCAGCCTTTCCCTACCGAACCTCGTTGACTCTGACATTATCATATGTGCCGTCGCATGTAGTTAAGACGATGCTGCTTGCTTATTCAAGCAAGTGAAAGAGATGACTCGCTTAAGATTTCTGCCGCTGACGGTGACTTGTGTTTTCTGTAGTTGGTTGTGCAGCTTCATACTCTCTATCTTCACTCACCTGAAGTCTTGTCTTCGACGTGTTGGTTCCTGCTTGTCATTCTTCGAGTATACGCGACAAGTTACATAAATCATCTGCAAAGTTCAGATCTTCTTGGGTCTTTTTGTTGATCAGACGTTGGCTCGTTTTCTCGCTCCCAGAGGTGTGGTGTGTGATTCAGTCCACGGCAATGAGGAAGATCATATGTGATAAGTAACCGTCCCTGTCTTACTCCCGTCATCAATTCAAAAGATTCACTAAGCTTTTCATGGCGAACCACTTGTCATGTAGCAACCCCATGTAACAATTCCTAAATGGCAAAAATTCATGGCACTAAGTCTAGTGCTGAAGATGAAGAAGACGATGACAAATCAAGGCACCATGATAAAATGTAACCCACAATCAAGTACATTCATATGACGATTGCTACATAAGACGAAACACGAGTCGTACATTCCACCGTTAGCCAAACAAATAAAGTATCCAATGATACAGTAATGCATATCAGATAACATTTCAAAGCACAGACATTGATAATTTAAGAAGATAAAAATAAAAAAAATTAAATGAATCCTAACGTCATACTGTTTCTCACTGCGTTACTAAAAAGATAGTGGGTTGAAATGAAGAAATGTTGTCTAGATTTCTGCGTGACTCCCCTAATTTACTTATCAGAGTTTGTTTTTTTTAGATTCTCTGAATAAAATAATGAAAACTCATACATTACTTGAACATTAATTCCCATTATAAAACAGACTTATGGTTAAGTTGTAATGCACTGAGATATCCTGTAGAAGTTAACTGTCTTTGATCACAGATGTTTGTGTTAAGTGGTACAATAGAGTGAGTAATACTGCGGTTAGAAGTTAAGTGGTAAATAAGGAGTGTAAGTCATTGGATGAGGTTGTGCATCTACACCAACTGAAATGGTTAGGACACATATTGCGCAATCCAAGCCAACGCTTTCCTCGACAAGCGATGTTAGCTAACATAGGACTAAGTTGGAAAAGAGCTCAGAGTAAGTCAAACCAAAACCTGAAATCAATCCAAGAAGTTGTTGACCGTCAGTATGAGACACGTAGTGAGGTATAGTTTGCCTGGTTGGAGTACTCGGAATTCTAAGAACCAATGACTGGAGAATTTTAGTGATATGGCTCTAAGGCTGTTCTCAATGGCGTAGATGCATTTATCTTTTGTAATCTTCGACATTTATGAAATCCTTATGTTTTTATATGTTACTCTTCTCCACATTTATGCTTGTAATAGCTTTTTCTGAACTTTTTTTCTTTCCTCGACCAAGCTATAGCCTTCTAAGTGGATTAATGTTAGCTGATATGGGATTAGGTTGATAAAAAGTTAGAGGTGCTCAAATGAAAACCTAGAGTGGCTGGATTCAACATAGAACTTGGCACCGAAGTGCAGTAGTTCGAGCTGCCACATTCCAAATAGCACACAAAGGTAGACAAGAAGATGAGTGAAGGAAATCAGTAGAGTTTTGACAAGCATAAGAGTGAAACAGAATGAGTAATGGTAGAAAGGAATATGAAGGTTAAAGAGACTGAATACATCTGCGCCATTGACAACGATTTTGAGCCATGTCACCTATTGTCTCCAGCCATTGATTCTTAGAATCCCGAGGGCCCCAACCCGGAAGTCTGCATCCCCCTACCTGACTCAGTTTAAATGTCAAGGATTTCATGGATTGATGCGGTGTTTTTGTTTGGCCACCACTTACTCTTTTCCAACCTGCACCTATATCAGCTAGTAATACCCGTCGAGGGAGACGATGGTTAGGCATGCGCAGCACGTGACCTAGCCATCTCAATCTATGTAACTTTTATAGCCTCGTCGATTGATTTTCCCTCTTTGCCCAACTCTCTATGCGTAACGGTAACATTACTTACCTTATTATACCACCTAACGTGAGAAAGAGATCGTAGACATCTATGAACAAAAACAGTCAACCTTTTCATGTCTTCAACTCGTATTGGCCATGTTTCAGAGCCATGGAGAAGGACGGAGCGAACTGCTGAGCAGTACACACGTCCCTTGGTTGATAGCCGGATGCCACGCCTTCGCCAGAGATGGTGTAAGTTAGAGAAAGCAGCTCGAGCTCGAATCAATCCGTAACTGTTGGCTTGAGTCCACCATGTAGGAAGGTGGTGCGAATACCTATTGGCTCGCTATATGAAGACAGACAGACAGACATATGAAGTGAGGCGACTTGAAATGCTGCACTTCTGTGTAAAATTCTGCATTGAAGCTCAGTCAATCAAACATGTGTTGTTGAGTACTAGCCTAGGCTTTTAATTACATTGCAGCACTGTTACCCTTGGCTGGAAGACTGACAAAATAATAAAATTGCATTATTCCAATCATAATCATCAGAATTTACGAATGAATTACTAGACAACGAACGAGATGCATATGTCAAAACCCAGCGAGTTGAAATATTCTTCATTGACTTTCACTATAATGTGTTACTCTGATAAGAACTGAGACATAAAAATAAGCGAAAATATAAATTAGACTCCCAAAAAACACCTGGATAAACTGATAAGGCTTGTTTTTCTAATGAAAACAAGTTTAGATTGTAAAGAACAGATGTTATGATGACCACCAGGTAGACAACAACACAAATAATACACCACATACGAATATATATATATATACATATATATATAGAGAGAGAGAGAGAGTCTGTCTATTATTAATGATGATATTCTCAATTGTGGTAGACTGGATCATGCATCAGACTGTGGGAGTGAGAAGGCAAGAATACGCTGGACCACCGATAAGAAAACTCTAGAATATCTAGATCTCGCGCGTGGATGATCTGTGTTTAGTGTTACACAAACTCGAAGACTTTCACGCGAAAACCAACAAACTGGCTGAAGAGACAAACAGCAAAGACATGACTCCAGGTGAACGAACATAGAGAAGACGGAGGTGAACATAAACAACCAACTAACAGCAACAACAACCAGCACCAATCACACTATCAACAGCAGAAATTTGGAAGACGTTACTTCCTTCACTTATCGACGAAGCATTGTCAATACCAACCAGAATCAGAAAGACAAGACAAACCTTCACCCATCTGAAATCAGTTTGGAAATATTCTCCACTCAGCATAAACAACAAAATTCGGATTTCCAACACCAATGTCAAGCCAGTCAGTTCTTCTATATGGGTCAGAGACTCCACACGACCGTCACGAAAACATTTCTAACAGCCTACTGCAAACTTTTATCAACAGATGCCTTTCCTGGCTCCGTATTGAAGATCACATGGCCGACCAGAAACAATTACTAACAAGGTATTTGTCAACGAACTAACCAACAGCCTATCGCTCAAAAAATATCACAAAGAAAATGAAGGTGGATCGGACACACGCTGAGGACGCCGTTGGATAACATAGCACATTAGACCCTCGAGTGGAACCCAAATAGGGCACGAAGAGTTGGGTGTGGGTACGAGGATGACATGGAGGTGATCATGTGAGGAGGAGATGAGAGATTATGGACAGTCGTGGATCCAAGTCAAGACGACAGCAGAAAATAGAACAAAATGGAGGTGTGTTGTTGAGGCCTTGTGTTGCACTCGGAACCCAAGCCACTGGCTTGAAGTCCTATGTTCCAGTGGGGAACGCGAAGGAAAAAAAATACGTTGTAACTGTTTGTTTTTTTAATCCTATGCAATCTTGTCTCTAAGCCTCTTGTAATCTATATTCGTACCTTCAAACTTTCATATCAAGCTGTGTGGAATTAAATAAATAATAATTGTATCCATGTAAACTAATGTACATAAATGCGATTGTACAGCATGTTAGGAATGAAATCGCCGAAATGATATCTTTGCTGAACTTCTTGCTTCTCTTCTCTCTAATGTCCCAATGGGTATTTTCCATCAATTGAATTAATCAAACAATCTAAAGACATTAAAAGTGACAAGGTGGAAATGTAAACAGTCTACATCCTAAAATATCTACTAAAAATGGCTGAACTGGGAAAAAACTAAATAATGAAGATGATTATCTAGAGAAGCGAACACAATTAATTATCTGTAGAACAGATAATGTGAGAGGGGGCGAAATTCACTCTGACAATAACAATGCACTTCACATTTGTACAAAAGGTATACACCAACATAATGAATGAATGTATAGCCATAGCCTTACGTAAGTATTCGGGAAAATGCACTTAGACCACTGGCATGTGATCAGTGTAAAATGATGGTGAAGATATCAAAATCGAAAACTTATCGCAGTGTCTCTGTCTGTCTGGATTCAACGTAGAACTTGGCACCGAAAAGCAGCAGTTCGAGTTGCCATGTTCCAAAGAGCACACAAAGGTAGACAAGAAAATGAGTGAAGAGAATCAATAGAGTTTTAACAGGTATAATAGTGAAACAGAATAGGTAATGGTAGAAAGGAATATGAAAGATTACAGAGACTGAATACATCTGCGCCATTGACAACGATTTTGAGCCATGTCACCTATTATCTCCAGCCATTGATTCTTAGAGTCCCGAGGGCCGGGCCCCAACCCGGAAGTCTGCATCTCCCTACCTGACTCAGTTTAACTGTCAAGGATTTCATGGATTGATGCCATGTTTTTGTTTGGCCACCACTTACTCTTTTCCAACCTGCACCTACATCAGCTAGTAATGACCGTCGTAGTGTGTGTATGTGAACAACCATTAAAAAATATATAATTACAACTATAATTGATCTCTGCATACACTTATCACAGATATTATATGCATAATATATATACATGATCTAATGTAATGTGAAGACAGTCATTTTAGACTGACTGATACACACAAACAACAAAGTTATACACAATCTAACCTTTTTTAAGCAGCTCTTTGGGATGTGATGTTGTATCAGGATGAAAGAAATCCAAACGTTCAATAATTTCAGGATATTCTTTCTGATAATTTGGAAGTAAAGATAACAAAGAATATATAAATATATATACTAAATAAGCAAGATTATAAATATGGTATTATTAAACATTAAACAGTCTAAAGCCGACAAATGATCAATGGATGTGTGAAGGATAAACTGCCGCTTTGGACCACCTCAATGTGTGTTTATAAATTCACCTACTCGTGTGGAGCTAGTTACATTGGCCGCACAAAGCGCACACTTTCCAAATGCATCTCTGAACATTATCCGCCATGGTTAGCACAAGGACAATGCAAGACAAATACTAGCTCAATTCTCGAGCACTTGGTGAACTCAGGCCACGTAGCTCCACCAGAGCCGTCTTTCGAGATCATCTACGAGGTGAGGCCAAATGGTACAAAGGGCGTCAGGTTTCGACTTTTGTGTATAACGGAGGCTCTGGCAATTCGTCAATACAACCCCGAACTCTGTATACAGAAAAAGTTTGTCCAGTCTATTATTCCACCTTGGTCTTGACCTCTTCACTAGTTGTTCCATGTAAAAAAATTTGATTTTCTTTTTTTTTAATTTCCAATTTAACCTTTAGTTTGCTTCTGCTTTAATAATTAACTAACTATTATCACTCTCATAAATTCCTTTTGTACATTTTCACACCCTCTTTACACTTGTTAAATGGACACTCAACTACCTCTATTCTTACTCAATTGCAATTTTAACCTTATCAAATTTCTTCCTCTGTGCCGTTGAGTACCACGTAATTTACAACTTTTATTTTTTACTTCTAAAGCCACTTTCGAGTAATTATATCAATTATGTCACCCCCTATTACTCAATAACAGACTACTATACATTTTTGGTAAATCCAAATACGACTGTACAGCAGTCTCTGAAGATGATTTCGTCGATAAAGAAAATTTTCATCGCTAAATTTGTCTTTTATTTTCTTCATAACATTAGATTTTCTCGTAATTGTTGTTAAGCTTTGAATTAATGCTGATATTCAAAATGATAAATTAATAAAGCCTGGAAATACAAAATATATTGATGAACTATTTATTTGCAATTAACAGTGTTCTCTGACCTGGTTGGTTTAGTTGCGAAGCTTTCGTCGTCCAACCAACCAGCTCAGAGAACACTATTAATTGCAAATCATCCACCTGAGCTACAAATCTTCTCTATTATTTCAGAACTATTTATTTCTTCAAGTCTGTCAGAATCACTAAGTCAAGAATTTCATCGATGCCATAGAAAAGAATAACAACATAATATTTACGGGTTTGAAGGAGGTATACTTTATGGACAACTAATCACCTCTAACTTCAGTGTTAAAGTAAGTTATATCAGACGTGTTTCATACAGAGGATTGTGACCACATGAATCTATGAAATATTTAATACAAGACTACTGCAGCGGTTATATAGCGCTGACTGATAAAAATGGTTGGAAACTATTCACATCAAACAATAGTGCTTGCTAGTTAGATGGAATTCATCTAAACACTAGGAAGTCGTTTCCCTCGATCGGAGTAGAGCGCATCGTCAGTGTACCTTGATTATTGATTTTGCCGCACATATGTGCAAAGTTCTATGTCGAAAACAGACAGACAGACATTGATTCTGCTTAGAGGGTTGAATAAAATCAAATCAATTGGGATCATATTTATGTACTTGGCAGCCAACCAACGTAGAACTTACTGTTGAACAAAGTAGTGAAGATGGATCGGTCACATAACATGAAGACAGCTTCAAGCAATATCACAAAATTTATAGTTATAACACCCAGGTACTTTGAAAGAAAGTCAGTCTAATGAAACTCTATGCTGTCAGTAGCTGATTTTAGCATGCAGCAAAAAGACGTACTGATAATGACTTTGAGAATTTGTTTCTGGATAGGAAACGGATTGTAATCCGTAAGAAAATTACCACGGAATAGTTTACAAAGGTCAAAAAACAACTTTCCTGCAGGTGAACGTCAGTTTAAACACACACACAAACACACACAAGCACATCTGCAATCAATACAACGATACCTGACTTACTTACCTCCCTTACCTGAGAAATAAACATCAGTAAATTGTTTCTGTTAATATTAAAAACGCATCACCACACACATTGGTTACTTTTTGGTCAGAACTGCACTCTCTACTCTAAAAACAAACGATTGCGAATAGCGATTCAGTTCACTGGTGTAGTTTTGTTTTCAATGCCTATTAGATCACTAACATGCTATGAAGTTATTTCCGCTAGTTGCGGACTAGCAGTGGAATGCACTTTGCGCGTTTCGTCCAAATCTGGGACTCCTCAACTACATGTACCTGTATTCCCAAGTAAGTGGTAGCATTCTCAGTGGGAAGCAAACTCCAAACGCAACGACGGGAACAGCATAACTTACTGGAAATGTAGATACACTCACTTGACGAGTCCCAAATAGGAAGAAATGGGCATCCTAGATTCCAGAGTTAGTCACCGTCAACCAAAATAATAACTATGATAATCCTTAGATATTGCCAAAGTGTTCATACTAGGAGCCGATATTTCAACAGAGACCGATCAGTTCTGTCCAACATAACTGATTAACAGGAAATGCTAAATTTACCTGAAAACTAGCATACTATTGTAACCACAGATGACAAGAGACTTGGTAACGGGAATGTTTATTTGGAATTTGGTATCTCTATATTGTGAAGTCATGTACACCTTATCTGAAAACCGTCATTTCCTTGTTTTTTTTTTGGTGTCTTTTATGTTTTGCCGCAACCCTGGTTCATTTGCTCTTTTTGACAACTAATCTATCTTTCCACTATTTGATATTTTTATTCCGATGAACGCCTCTTTATATACTGCTGATAAATCTTATCAGGAGCACACGGCACACTATGTTGAGAATGTACGTGATATATATACATATATGAATAAGCTCCGATGACAAGCATATTTTTAGACTACGTGAAGTGAGATGCTATGCACACGAAGAAAACGATATTGACAGAGCGGACAAACAAGTGACGTATGTATTCCTTTCAGAACTCAATTATACCATACTGGACTAATGAGTTACGCATCCACTATGTGAGGAATGATGATACTACCAAGTTGCCTAAGCTAAAGTAGGAGGAGTGAGGCTCGAGCCCAGGACTCATTGACAGAAAGTTTTTTTTTGATTTATAGCTTGATCCCACACCGTATTTTCAGTACAAGTATGGAATTTTCAGCATGGATATCGGTAGCCCAAATTTTGCAGGCCGACCATAGATATCGACAGGGAATCGAACCCCGGACGATGTTGCATGGTCAGGCGAGAGTCCTAACCATTGTGCCACCGACCAATGAGCCATATGTCTACACTCCCCAACAAGTGTAATAAACGTTAGAAAACGTCTGTGAATATATGCAGTTATACTCAACTGCTACTTAAGGCTGTACCGCCTAGAAGATTAAAATAGAAACACGTAGTTGTTATTTGAGTATTCATCTCATGTGGGTTGAATTTCCCTTTAATTCATACATAAATTAGGATACCATAAGTAATAGTGGTCACTAGACACACTGAAAAGAAAAACAAGTTACAGAGAAGATATCTTATTTCCTTTAGGAGAAAAAACATAGCATTGAACAAATCAATTTAGCACAAGGGAACATTCGGTCGTTTCCTTTTTCAGTTTTGTTAGGTAGCAGAAGACAGTATTTGTGAAACCAGTCAGTTAGAGAACAAATCGCTAAGAACTCAATTGCCTGAAATAGATTTTTATGTGCCGGACTATGAGCTACGCTTTGTGTGTGTATGTGTGCGTATGTGAGAGCTGAAGATTCTAGCTAGTCTCACAGGCTGAACTAGGTACAGAGAGATTAGAGTCGGGTAGCCAGTGGCAAAAGTCAGTTTTTAAGCCAATTAACCACATCTCAAATTCAAACAAAAAACATAAGGTACACCATGAATGATTAACGCTCTATACTACTGATCGATTGATATCAGCAGCTGGATACCACTCGCACAAAAGAGTATTGCTTGCTAGCCAGATCGAAGTGATCTAAACTACGGATGGCAACTTTGCGCATTTACTGCCGAACTTAGCGGTGGCTTCCTCGGTTCTGACTCAGCTCACAGAGCTGAATCAGTTCAAACCTCCCGATTTCTGGCAAACTACTTGAACAAACTGGTAATACATTGAATCAAATTTGCAATATGTGATCTGCCTGATACCATAAACGGTATTCAAGAAAGCAGTCTTGAATGGATGACGCTACGTACTACTAATTGATTGATAACTTGCGGATTGTGAACTTGATATAGGATAAATCGATTCTAGAACAACGCAGCCAACAAATTGTAATGTGAAATCACTCGACATTAATTTGACGAGCGTTCTCAGCAACCTCACAGACTCGTGGGTCTACAATGACACGTATGCAAAATATGACAGTGTGCCGTATTATGAAAGATGGAGTGTTTATGAAAGAAACAAATTATACATTCAATAAGATGTAATACTTACCTCAACGCACGATTTAGGTAAGTAACCTGAATGACGAGATTTCAATGAAGTGGCTAGTAACCAATCCGAGTTCGGATCTTCATGAACCAATAAGAAACGATCGTCAACAGCACACCTAAGAGGGATAAAGAATAAAATTAGTTACCACAAGTTAAGAGTGAAGCGTGCCTATGACTTGAAGTCTTCCGAAGTAAACTAAACTGAATTTTCAACGTAGAACATTGCACAAAAGTAAGGTATTTTGAGTTGCTACAGTCCACTAAATGTACACACAAATATAAATAGAAAATATACAAAGAAACTAATTTGGGTAGAAATGTACTGGAAAAGAATAATCAGATGGAGAATGATGAGTAATTAATCCATCTAGGAGATTTAAAAGAGTGGATTCTTCAGCGCCATCGACAACGATTTTGAGCCATATCAACAATAGTCTGAAGTTGTTGGTTCTTAGAGTCTTGAGCACCCCTACGTGGATCAAACTAAGTCACTAATCCACTTCTGAATACTTCTGGTAATGAAGTAATGACATATTTTACTGTGCTTCTGTAATTATGAATACTATTGAGTAGATTTCGGAAATGATGAAGACGAGATGGAAACTTTTCCCGCTGGACTCATTTCATTTTAACGTTTCTCGTCACCTGAATACAGTTTGGAGTCCACAAACCATCCAAACCAACTGTTGCATAACATACCGTAAAGATAAAGGCTAGAAATTCTCGAATAAGTGAAAGAGGGAAGTGAAGTAATACGCAAATGTGTATCTTAGTCAAAGCATTATTCCTCTCTTCTTCATTTTTGCAGCAATCCACCTTTCACTTGTTTTGAAGTTTCATGGTATGTTATAGAACAAGTGGTTTTAATAGTTTGTAGTCACAATTTTTGGGGCTATCTGAATCTGATGGGAAGTTATTCAACTTCTGAAAATATGTCATAAAACAATTTTTAAAAAATTTAATTTACCAAATTAAGTTTATTTACTCACCCAAGTCGGTCATAAGCATTATCTGGCTCAAAATCCTGAATAGCGCGTAAACGTTGTGTATGATATTCAATAGGAAGCTGGAATTATTCGAAAATGAAAGTTTAGCAAATTCAAAATGAAAATAGAGAATACCAGCAACAAAGGTAGTGGTGAACTTTAAAATATATGAAAGTAATATTGTTAGTCCACTTCTGATTAATTTATTTTGTATGGTACTTATTGATGTTAGTACTTAGTTACCAGGAATCGATTTTTCATATGGCAGACCACAGGTAACACTGATTATGTGAAGGATGATGATACTGGCCAGTTGTCCATACTGCAGTAGGTGGAAGGGGTTAAGAATTCTGGGCCTATTAACTGATAGCTGAGTGCTTAAGCTAATAAAATATACCCCTATGGCACGGAATGGTGTGAATTTGCTTACTGATTGGTGACGTATGTAGAACATTTAGTCTACTGCTCACAATAATGTTTTTTAACGAATCACACAACTCACTGACTTGTCTCCTGTCCTTTGGTATTATTGATATAACAGTATTCAGTCAGATATCTAGCATTCCTGTTGCCATTTTTATTGCAAGTGTTTAGTTTTGTTTCAATGAACAGACATTAATCGATCAGTGCCTTCCTGCAGCTAACTACACTACTCATTAGGAATGCTACTTTTTCCTGCTCTATTGTTGAACTGTTGCCGATATAAGTATGCTGTTATTCGAAATTAGGCGCGAAACTGAGTGTGAATATTTTAAAGTATCCATATAATTGGCGTAAAGTATAGTTTGATAAGTCCGGAAATAACTCAAATTGTACGACACACTTATGTTTTACCTATTCACTAATTTAGAAATAAACTTTGAACAGTATTAGCACCAATAAGTGAGCTTCATAAAATAACCGACTAGAGCTTTCTATTCAAATACAGCTACACATTTTATGTGAGATTTGAGATACTGCCTAGAATTACAGATAGAAACAGATGGTTACCCTAAGTCACTAATCCCCGTGCCTTGGACTCACATCGGATGCCCACGGTGGCAGAGAAACGTGCTTCCGTGAGTGCCAGTGACTATTCGTTTGCACCATAGGTTTGGAATCAAGGTTTCCCGGTTCTCTTAGGTGAATCCATAATTTATATCAATGTCGTAGTGGGGAACGGACTCTAGCATTCGCCCTTCCGCTTTTATAATAATACTCAAAGGCAGTGTGGAGGCAATGAATACAGCTTACCAGGCATGGGATATGAATATGTGGCGACATGAGAGTAACTTGAAGGGAAGAGTGAAGTCCGCACACCCACAGCTGTATTAGGTCATCTATGGAAAGCATTAACGAACAGAGGAAATATCATCCCTAATGTAACTGTTAAGTATAATTTTCCCCGCCCCCAGAGGAAGCATTGATTAAATTTGGTCAGCATTCTGCAGTAATAGCATTTTATAAGCAAAACGAGGTGTATACTCCACATAATACTTAAAGATAGTTTACGGAGAACATGGAGGCCATTCACGTAAGTTCATGTGAATGATAAGAGATAGTAGGCTCATAACCATGAAGAAAATCTGACTGGTAAATAAAATTTTTCGTAAGAAACTTTCACATACTGATTTCGAAAATATAATAGTAGTAGTGGTAATGACAACAACACTAAACATGAAATGCAGAACAAGACCGGTAAAAACATGCAATTAAGTCAGCCTACAACAATATAAAGGGTAAGACTTAACAGACTAGATGTATAAGGTATTATATGGTGGATGATGTAAATCTACTTATAATAAAAACTGAAAACTATACACGTATTTTTGCATATTACTTATGTACGCTTCATAAGAGTTATAAATTCTTAGTTAACATATAGAACAAATAAATGTTACGTGGTACACAACCATTCGAACATTTCTGAAAATATTTTAAGTACTCATATCAGACTTGCATTATAACAGATTTATTAAGTGTTTTTAAACATTGACCAGCATTCACAATCATAATATTTTCACTTTCATGCCTTACCAATTATGCTTTGTTGTTGCAAGTCATTTTAATTACTATTGGTGGCGAGGTACTCGGAAACAAACCTCATATCGTCGAGTCACAACAAATTTACACCCATTTGCGTGCTTACATTTAAGTTACAAGTTATGTACAAAACGTTTACTAAGCACTATGAGACAGACCTATTTAACTAGGAGTCAGAAACAGGTACAATTCTTGCAGTTGTTAAGTCAGTGAAAAGATAGAAAGTATATATAGCAAGACGAAGTGATAAGCACAAATGACACAAAGATATGTGGATGCGGCACTCACACACTATATCTAAGTCTTCATTGAACTACCTGTGTCCATTTTTACACCAAGCTTAATATAAACATAACGTAGGAATATTTTTACGTTGAAAATAAAACGCTACATATATGAAACTTGGAAAACACCATGAAATATTGATATGCATGCAACAAATTAATACATGTATCAACTTACACTAGTAGGTGGGATGGGATGTTTAAGCCGTTCGCCTGTCATTATGTCACGGGTGTAATACCTCGACAAACAGCCATCTAAACTGTCGAAAAATCTTCCACCAAGTTGAAAACAATGGAAACGTGGAATAAGTCTGCATAATACTTAGACTGGTTACTATATTTATCTACCTGAAGTGAAAACAGACACGCGCTGAGGAAAGATATGATAGGACATATATGTTCTCCCATGTATCATTGCCATGAGTTGTACGACTTAGACGTAAAAGATAACTGTTTGGTATGTTGAAAGTTTGTAGGCGCTTCTCTGCCTCAGCCCGATCAATGTAACCGTGATAGTATCTACAGTGCAATTAAAGAATTGACACATCAAGTATACGAAATATAAAATTTAGTAAATAGGATATTTGACAAATTAACCAGTGAATATCAAAATTTACTACGGTTGGACTTTTATTGGAATTTGTTTTTCATAAACTTATGTAATTTCATTCACCGGATACGGCTATCTTTCTTAAAATGTTATCGAAATGAACACATCAATACTACATAAATGCATTAAAAATATTTTAATAAAACAGGAACTCATTTCTAAGTGAATTGACAATTCTAGGATTTTGTTTAATTTTTGCATTATTTCTTAAGTAAAATACGTCAGGGAAAATTATTAACGGTTTAACTAGTAAGTGCTGTACGAAGCGGGTAGCCACATATTAGACTGCGTGTAACAGAAAATAACGATAGGTGTTTGGTGGTGGGTGACTTTAAGACCACATATTAATTAGAAGGAAGCAACAACAGCTGGCTCATACAACCACTTTAACGGTGAGCTCTTGTCGAGTGTGTACTAGTAAACTTTATGATCGAATCACGAGCTTCCTATGCTGAACATGGTGTTCACACATCAGAAGGATATTAAGGGACTTTCGATACCTCCAACCACTGCGCAACAATGATCACATATTCACTTAGTCTACATCTAAAACAAGACTTGAATCATGGAAGGATGCGGCGGTACACCATCTTCAGAGATTACAACAGGAACTTAATTAACCTGACAGCATATTGCTGCATTATTATTACGGTCCAAAACATGTTTCGTGTAGAGAAATATGCATTGTTAGTGACGAAAAAGTAGAGTTCGGGGCCGCAATGGATTTGTTTTACGGCTCTACTTGTAGCCAAAAGGAAATACAACTAGTAGACAAAATTTGCTTAGCTATATTGGTATTCATCGACCCCGGCACCCTACTCGACCGTGTCTAACTTGGGCTTACTGTGCAAACTAGAAGGTTTCGGCTTAGATGGTATCTGATACTACTGGCTAATGGACCACCAACGTACCAAAACTAAATTCTCTGAGTCGCACCTTTCATGTATCAGGCCATGAGCGACATTTACTGTATGACTTTACTATACTAACCGGTCGCCCAAACTTCGGTGAGTGGAGCGAGCTTCAAACTCAGAATCCAGTGGTTGGGAGTGGCTAGACAAATCCCCATACTCCATTCAACGCATGTTAGACCTTGTCTTTACGACAGCCTACAGGCTGCCACTCACTACTTTAGGAAAGGAACACGTCTTAGAAGAAGTACTAAAGGAAGGCACTAGACTAATAAAGGAATCTGTTGCCTCGGCTACGAAAAAGGATGGAAATATTAAGTCTAGCAGTTCCATACTGTGGAAGGACATGCGACCCAACTTTGATATATGGTGAAACAAATTGTGCAGGATACCTCTAAAACATGATCACAGATAAGTACTTGAACTTCAGCCAAATAATCCACAGGTGGAATTCAGAATCTTGTACAGTGTGGTGAAACTGAACGCTTCCATGGATGCTCGATCATAACTAAGGACATCATCAACCCTACTGTTTCACCCCATGACGACTAATACCTTTAGTCAAACAAGTTTTTTTTACTTGGAGCACTTTTTAGATGACGGCAGTCGAACTCACAACTCTTAAAAGTAATCACAAAATACGCCCATTAATTCATAAGGAAAAACAGATTTCGTTCAGCGAAGACATATTTCTTTTCAACGACTCCATTTTCAAGCTGTACAGTCATATTAAGTGGCACTAGATATTGTTCAGTCAATATACATGTGGTAGGAATAAAGATAATTAAAATGATGCATTAAGGAGGTAGAGTTGAAGTAGGTGAATTACAAAACTTGAAAGTAAACCAAAATACACATCACCATATATAGATTTTCCTATTACTTTACGAACCCCAACTTGAATGCAAAGCTATCGTAATTCCAAGACAACATAAGTATAACTCCATTAAAATAATAGCTTTTGTGGGCGGAAAGATATTTCCGGTTTTTACAATTGACACGGGAAATATCTATAAAATACATTCCCATAAGGGGAACTGACAAACATATTCGAAGAACCAAAGTCTATGTGAATAGGAACAGACGCACTAAGGAACTCCACAAGACAGGATGATGGCGAATTGTTCATAACACCGATTACGGTTCTAAACTTCTTCAACTAATTAAATCATAAGGAACCAACCAGTTGCTTGCACTGTTATAGCTATTACAGTGCTCTCGTACAGTGATCTGTTGTTCAAAGGTGAGGAATTCTCAGTTTTGTCCCGTTTTCAGGTGGACATTAACCTATTTAGTTGTGACGGTCCATTATATGCTAACAGTTCTCAAAAAGTAAAAGAATGACAAGAAAAGTACAAAAAGCTCGTCCTTACTGTTCTAATGATGGAAGGTTCTGAACAACGCAGATATCTTCGGTTGTTGCCTCCGGCATACAGTAAGACAAACGTTTTACATGTAGTGACCTTCCCAACGAATTTCCCACTTCACATTCAACATCCAATAACCTCTTGGTAGATTTGCTATTAACCTTGCGATTTTAGGCTCTCATTTCTTGTTGTTTCGGGATACCTCAGGCCTTTTACAGGTCTCATCACAGCCTAATGGCTGGAATACTACAGCTTCGCTAAGCGCGATAAGACGAGGAATATCAAATATTGTTAAATGTTCCTGGTCAAATTCAGATTATAAAATAGAAGGCTCTCGTTGCCTATGTTAATCCTCGCGATATATATCTCTGCAGAGATCCAGTTTCTCTTTGAAAGCATTCACCGATGGAGCTGTTACTACTGAATCAGGTAAGGAGTTCCAGTCGTTGACCACTCTGTGAGACAATCTAAACTCCAAACGTATTTTATTTGACCTCGGTTTGAGCACCTTCTTCTGGTGACCCCATAAATGTATCCTAGAGGAAGAGAAAAGGTTTGAAAGGTTAATACCTAAATCACCCTTGAATATACGGTAGACCAAAATTAAGTTGCCTCTCCTCCTTTGGTATGATAATGGGAAGAGATTTAAATGCTCCATCCTCATGTCATAAGAAAGGTGTGAAATACCGCTAACTGATTTCGTTCCTATCCTATGTACTCTTTCCAGGGTGCGTGCCTCCTTTTTGAAACATGGACTCGCCGCTTGTATGCAGTACTCTAGATGAGGCCTGACATATGTTGCATAGAGTACTTGGAACATACCCTCGTCTAATCGTTTGAAAGATCTTCGAAGTGCCCATAGCATTCGAAAAGCCTTAGCTGTGGCTGGATTACAGTTTACCGTTGTTTTTAAGTCATGGCTAACAATAGTTCCTAAGTCCTTGTGTTCCCTAACATCTGGCAGTTCTGTGTTCCCCGTGGAGTACGACGTGCAAGACTTCTAACCTAGGTGCATTACCGCGCTTTTCTTGGAATTAATTTCCAGACTCCAAAGGTTAGCCCATTCGGTTAATTTGCCTAGATCGTCTTGTAGTGCCAACCTATCATCGCTACTATTTACGGTTTTCCATATCTTAATATCGTCCTCAAATAGAAAGGAAGATGAGGTAAGAATTTTTGGCACTTCATTTACGTATAATAAGAATAGCAGGGGGCCAAGTACAGTTCCCTGAGGTACTCCACTTAGTACTGCTTTACACCCTGACAGTACATCATTGCCCCTTACCTTCTGCCTCCTACCCATGAGGTAGTCACTAAGCCACTCGCATAAGCGTTGGCCTAATCCAAAATGTTTAAGTTTACTAAGAAGACCTAAATAGGATACCTTATCGAATGCTTTACTAAGATCGATAAATACAACGTCCAGTAGATGGTTTTTATTCTTGGCCTCGACCCAGTCTTCCCTAGCTAACAGTAAGTTTGTCAAGCAGGATCGTCCTGGTCGGAATCCATGCTGTTCCACTGCCAGTAAGCCATGTTTTTCCGTATGAGCTAAGAGCTGATCCCTTATGAGTTTTTCTAACACCTTTGCTATAATACAGGTCAGACTTACAGACCGGTAGTTAGGTACTAGTTGTCTGTTCCCATCTTTGAAGATAGGGCTTATAAAAGCATCTTTCCAGTCTCTGGGTAATCTAGCCTGGGTCAGAGAGATCTGAAAAATCTCCGTAAGTGGAATGTATATTATATCCTCCAGGGAGCTTAGCAATCTAGGGTGAAGTCCGTCTGGTCCAGGTGATTTACCTGGCTTCAACTTAGTCAGTAGTTTCAGAACCATTGCATCATCTACCACAATTGGGGGCATTTTAGGGGCTACACCAGTTACCTCGCTACACCCCTGGGTGGTACGACTAGGCGAAAAAACATCACAGAAATATTCGGAGAGCTCCTCAGCTTTTGTTTTGTCTGGTTCTGCAACCTCTCCTGTGTTGCTAATGAGGGACGGTATGCCACTACTAGTTTTAGTCCTGCGTTCGATATATGAGAACAGTCTTTTTGGATAATGCACACAATCCAGTACTAACTGTCTCTCATACTCTATACGACTTTTGTCAATCTCATACTTGCAAAGGTTTCGAACTTTGCGGTATTCTACCCGAAACTCATCCCTCCCAGTCTTCGATAAATTTCTGCGTAGTTCGTCCCGCCACTCAACTGAAGTAGCCTCGTTTGACTCAAAAAGGAGTGGTGCTGGGACTGATTATATGCAGTTTGCAGTATGTGGTGTGTTAAGACCGTGTTGCCACCGTGAAAGAAGTTGATCCTTTCACCT